AAGAAAAATGAGGCAACAGAGAAGTTGAAATTAGGTAGAACTGGAGGTGCACGATGCAAGTGGAGGGATTGTTTGGTTGATCTCGAAGGCGGTGATGTAGTGGCGTCCAGAGCGGTCTCTGAGTCTCTCTCTCTCTGTTTAGGCTGCAATCAAAGTAGGCCCTGATGGACGATGTTATAGTTGTATTATAGGATATTTTGAAGAAATATAAAAATAATTCTACCTGTCAGGTAACCTAATAGCTTTGGTCTCCGGTCATGTGCGCAAGTCTTGTGCTGCCTGACGCGTACGGGCCACATGTACATCTGGAAGTTATACAAACGGATTAAGGTCTATTAAGGTCACTAAAATAGAAAAAAGCAAGTTGATTTGGACACAATAACTACAGGGGAATGTGCTTGAACAAACATCTAAAGGAAAATACATGCTAAGTCAAGATGTCACTTTCACTCGTCCGAGACCGAGGCGAATCGCTCAGTCATAGACTGGAGGATCTTCTCGTACTTGGCCGAGACCGCCGCCTCATCCTCAGGAACCTCGAACTTCATGTTGCGAAGAGCACTCTGGAGATCAGCAGTAGCTTCACGGACCTTATTCCAGTTCTGACCCTGAGCAATAGCCTTTTGGGCCTCGTTGTGGTAGCCCATGAAGGCCTTCATCATGTACTCAGTCTTCCACAGGGGGCAGAACTGATCGTAGTCACTGTATCCGTTCTGCTGGAGGAAGTCATCCTTGAGCAAGCTGGCCACATCAAGTGTGATCTTATCCGAATCACCCAGCGCGGCCTTACCGACCAGCTGGACGACCTGGTCCAGTTCCTCGGACTTGGCCAAAAGCTCACGAATCTGATCGCGCAGACGAGGGAACTCGGGGTGATCCTTCTCGTAGTATTTATCCAAAATTGCGTTGTACTTGCTGTAGGAGATGGAGGTGTTGACCGAAGGGAAGTGCTTGCGCTGCGCCAGCTTCTTGTCAAGACCCCAGAAGACCTGGACAATACCCAGGGTACTGCTAGTGACGGGATCGGAGAAATCACCACCGGGTGGGCTAACAGCACCGACGATGCTGACACTACCCACACGCTCGGGGCTGCCAAGAGCACTGCTCTTTCCAGCACGCTCGTAGAAAGAGGCAAGCTTGGCTCCCAGGTACGCAGGGAAACCTTGGTCAGCAGGCATTTCACCCAGACGACCAGAGATCTCACGCAGGGCCTCAGCCCAACGGGAACTGGAGTCTGCCATCATAGCCACATCCTTGCCCTGATCACGGAAGTATTCGGCGATAGTGATACCGGTATAGATAGAGGCCTCACGGGCAGCGACGGGCATGTTGGAGGTGTTGGCGATCAGGCAGGTACGCTTCATGATAGGCTCCTTGCGGCCGTCGACGTTAATAGAGAGCTGGGAAAGAAAAGGCAGTCAGTAAAATGTCATCGTAGTAATTTTGGGGAGGAAACGTACTTCGGGGAAATCCATCAACACTTCAGCCATCTCGTTACCACGCTCACCGCAGCCAACGTAGACGATGATATCACTGTTCGAGAACTTGGACACACTCTGGGAAATGACAGTCTTTCCACATCCGAAAGCACCAGGAATACAGACAGTACCACCCTGGACACTGGGGAAAAGAGCATCCAACACTCTCTGGCCGACAATGAAGGGCGCATCGGCGGACAGCCTGTCGCTAACCGGGCGGGGAACACGAACGGGCCAGGTCTGCATCATACCAAACTCGGTCTTCTTACCATCGAACTCCACCTCGAGCAGCTTCTCTTCGACGGTGTAGCTGCCAGCGGGAGCAATGCGAGTAATGGTACCCCGTGCACGAGGAGGCAGCAGGATCTTGTGGTCGTTCACCAGACTGTTCTCGAACACGCTACCCCAGATGTCACCACCAGTGATGTGGTCGCCAACCTTGAAGCTAGTAGGCTTGTATTCCCACTTGCGCTCGCGGTCCAAGGCATTCACCGAAATACCACGGGGAATGTAGATACCCTTCGATTGGTCGGCGATGGTTTTGAGGGGTCGCTGAATACCGTCGTAGATCGTCTCCATCAGACCGGGGCCAAGCTCGACGGAAAGGGGCTTGCCTGTTCTCGTCACCGGGTCGCCGACAGTCAAGCCGTCTGTTATTGAATGGTCACAATGATCAGCATAGCTCTTTGCGAGGGGGATGATGAAACCATGCGGGTTTGGGGGGCTGCGGAGCTCTACCTGTTTCCTCGTAAACCTGAATCGTGGCCTTGTCTTGTTCGATACGAATGACCTCACCAACAAGCAGGTCATGACCGACACGACACTATGCGGTCAGTATCTGGGGTTCTCCACGATCTTGGAGCTGGGGCTGCCTACCAACTCGTACATGGCACAACCGATCATGTTCTCGGCCACGACGACAGGGCCGGAGACCGAAAAGACCGAGCCATGTTTCTCAGAATCGTCTGAACTCATAATGGAAGAAGCCTGTGTGGAATGGGGGGACACGGAGTGGGTGAAGGTAGTTGAGGAGGGCGAGTCTGGAAGCGGTGGCAGCTCGGCGGGCGGTGATGGCTGTGTCAACGTATGCTTTGCGGTTACCAGATCCAACAACGATGCCCGCGCTTTCAATCGAGGACGTCCCAAGCCTAGCATTCGCTTTGGATTGCAGGTTACAGGTGTTGGAAACTGAATCTCGACTGATTCTCGATTTGTCGGTCGTGGAGTTCCCCTGACCTACTCGTCCAATCCTCGGTCTCTTCCCCGCGCACCGAATTGTGGCCATGCAAGCCGATCTTTCAGCTTGGCTTGTACTACTGGTGGCTTTTTTTTTTAATTATCATATGGTCTTACGATGGTGTTCTAATTGGGTTTGCCCCCCTGCAGCTTTTGCGAACCACTCAATTCGCTAGAATTACTCGAATCACTGAGCATCTAGTTCATCGTACAAGTTCGATGCGCCCTACCGCATCTACTCCACAATGGCCTCCATGATCAATCCACTAATGCTTGCATTGCAGAAAAGCCATTTGACTAAGAAAACTGACGATCTAGAATAGCCGATGATATCTCGTCCCGAGGGCTGGCGATGATGATCTCTCTCGGTCGCCAAAAAAGGTCAATAACTGTCTTCAAGTTCCTTGATGGCCCCATAAACCATTTGGAAAAGATTTCGAAACTCGACCGCTAGATGCTGAGCATGTTGATTAATCAATGACCAGGGCGAAGCAGAGGGGGAAAAAGGCCCGCAGCTTGATCTTGCAACCACTCTCGGTATCCATGAATTCGTTCATGACATAAAAGAACCTGCTTCCACTTTCGAGTTTCGCGACCAAGTACTCCACCATTTCATACTCCTCCTCTCGCTGATCCGACATCCACTTCGGAATCTCGCCATCCATGATATCAACAAATTGAATCTTGGCCATGTGGTCCCCGATGACCTCCACCCCGCAGTCCGGCCCATTTTCGGCCGGAGCTCCTGTTGAATGCATCACGACATAGTTTTCCGGGTGCGTTGGGAATATAAACGTCCGCGCCATCTCATCGATGGGCTGAGAGAGCTGCCAGCGGTGGCAGATTGTTCTCATCTCTGTCGCGGAGACTCTGGTTGCTTTCATATAAGTTCTGCATTCTCTGAATTCCCCTTGAGAGGCTCGAATCAGTGATTCAAAGTAGTGGTTTCCTTCCTCGATTTGGTCTTTCAGAAGATCCAGCATCGGTGCTTGGAACAATAAGCTTCGCAGGTTATCGAGAGCACGATAGCAAGCTTGGAGTTCCAAGTTATCGATATCAGCCTCGGATGTGGATACCCCATTCAGCTTGAACTTGATGGTTGGTCTTGGCTCCATGGCAAATGGTATTCCGACTGGTATTCTTAGGGTTTGAAGATTTTGTGGAAAACGTTGTCTACGGGTGAAAGCCGCAAGGATTTATATTCTGGCCCAAAGAGCAACCCTGTCCTCACCAAGCCATTATTCAAAACCATCTTCTTGTGGAGTACTAGGAGTACTAATGAAACGTGAAAAAAAAAAAAAAAAAAAAAAAAACCAAAGGCATTGAGCGTAGAATGCGAAAGACAAAGGGACGATCAAAGGTAGCATACAAGTCCATTAGCACAAGTCTCTGAAGAAGGAGTGACAAAGTTTCAATTCAGAACTTGGAAGACAGTATGTATCACCTAGTCTAAAGGCATATGTAGAAATTTGAAACCACCATGTTGCATTCCAGACCCTGCAGAGTAATTAAGCAACAGAATAGTAAGGACTGCACAGCATGGGTTGGATAATGTCTCAAAGCGTCAAAGATGCCAAAGAGTTAACATGTGAGCACTTACCTATAAGTACTGTCCAATCAAAATTTAACACCCAGAACGAATATCTTCAAAATTGACGCTGGAGATGACTGCTTTCGAGGAAATAGACTGCCCTTCCACCCGAAACTTTGCATATCGATGGCCAAGGTGATGATTCTATGAAGTGCCGTAATAGGAAAAGATTCGTAAGTAAATTGTTATCATCTACATTTCTTTGTTTGATTTTGTCTTCTTTCTTTCCGTTAGACTATAAATACATGAGACGCCAGGACCCAGTCCTAGGAAGCTCTAAGTTTCATGATGGAAGTGACATAACTCAATAGATAGACTGTATTAAAAGGTAAGGTCTCTCAGATCCTTATGCCGAGGGAGGCTATATTCTTGCCTGCTTCTTGTCTCAGTAAATCTTGCACTATGTCTTATCTTCGGCTTTGTCTCCGTTTAACTTCGTATCAATCTGAGCTGCTGTAGCATAGTCAAAAGGTCACTGGTTTTACTACTGAAGTTTTATGGACTGTTTGTGGTATTGTCATGCTCTAGCAGATTCCTTTGGGGTTTCTACGGAAAGAGTCACCGAAGAGCTCTGAATCTGGCGACGAATACATCCAGCGCACTGAAATTGCTGGGAATGGCCGGTACCCTCATGTCTGTACCTTAGCATGCACGAAGGCACCCGTGGATTCAGCCTACCACAAAGCAAAGAACAGTCACAAAGTCATATCCATCTGTTGGGAACCATTCCCGCCAAGCGACTGCTCGGCCTCATCATTCAGGGTTGCTGTGACTATGGGCCATACCATTCGTTCCATTGTAGATGTAGATCCCAGGTCCATACCGGGTACGTCATATTTCGATGTGAAGTCTGAGTGATCGTTAGTGACTCATTTCACTTAGCCCAAACCACCAAGGAATACTCGCCCGGAAAGTAAGAGACAGCCGTGGTTGGAACAGTAGAGGGCAATGCGTCCTCGGATGTTTGGGGCTCAGCGCTTGCACGAGATCCACCTAGAACATAACTAATAGCCACGACGGCCTTTCGAAACTCTCTCGAGTTAGCAGATTGCCGATTCCAGGCGACCTGGGGTGTTCTTAGGAGATCTCCTATCCGGTCCATCTCCACCAGCTCAACTTCAGAATCTCTGGAATTTCCAGGGGCTGTGTTCCCTTCATTATTATGAGTAGAACATAGAAGCAAAGTACCCTTGTGGCAAGAAGGAAACCGTTTATGAATGCAGAAGAAACTCTCCAGTGGCTCTGGGACAACAGACCATCTACTTGAGTCTCTCTTCGACAAGACGCCGAAGTTCTAAAATATGCGTCGCATAATGCAAGCATGCTGACCGGGAGTGGTCATACTGCCGATGAAGGCTAGAGGGCTCAAGAAACTTCCTGTGCAAGACAATCTTCAATTAATGGATGACGACCTCCAGCCAGATCCTTTGAATCATGATTGGAGATGGGACATTCAGGAATGATGCAAGACCAGTCAGTCCGCTTCAAACTCGATGGGATCGTATTCCCAGCCTCATCAATCTGTTGATCAAGCTTCAGAATCAGGGAATATGCATGTGGTTGGGGGTCTGTGACCACATCGGCGACCTTTGCTCCCGAGGCAGCCGCATCTGCCCTTGCCACGAACACCGTTTAGCGCAGTTTATTCAGTGCATCATTACCACTTGCAGGACCGCCCATGTATGAGTCTGGCATTGGGGGCAAGGTTACGTGACGGGTATCAAACCCAAAATGGTAAAGCTAACCAGATGTGGAAATCCGGGGTCGATGATCTTAGTGGTTGAAGTGACTTCACATGTCATGATGCCTAACCCCTCTTCCCCGGACCGTGGGAAGATCACAGGAACACTTTTCATACTGGCTTAAGCAAATATATAGAAGCACTATGCTCAACTTGAATGGAAATTTATACACAATATTCGATATATTCCTACTCTGATTCACTAAAATCATGGCTTTGAAGAGCCCCAAGAGCGGAAATAGTACCGAGTGCCACTACTGGGGTTACTCCTTCCATTGGACGGACCTCCACTCCTCTGCCGATGACCTTAAATCGTTGATATACAGCTGTGACTCCCTAGCTGATGAATGCGTGGAGCGTTTAAGCAAAATTGCATCCGGTGATGACGGTGCCGATAAACGACCTTTTAAGAGGGACCTATATGGCTTATTGAGGGAGCATGCGAACGAGGATCCGAAGCTCAGTAAGCTCTGGACTGGGATCAACACAGTTCCGGAGTGGGTTGACTGGGATCAAATCGAGCGGGGCCAGGATGTCTTTTTTCGCTATGGTCTTCCGATTCTCAATGTTGTGAGTGGTTGCAGGAAGTATGATTTGAGATGCGAACTGACCTCACCGACAGCTCAGCTTTGAAAGTTTACTTGGTGGAATGTAAGAGCATCTTTGTATCTCTTGCTAATGAATGTCAACCAGAAGCTAACCCTTATCCAGGGGAGCAATGCGAGTTGTCGAAACCCTTTCACGGACTGGCGGTTTCGGGGCAAAGGTAGTACGCCGACGGTTACTAGAGACACTTCAGCATGTACTTCAGGTTAACAATTCAGCGGAAGGCATGAAGCCAGGAGGTGATGGTCACATCTCATGTGTTCGTGTCCGACTGCTTCATTCATCCGTCCGTAAGAGGATCCTAAGCCTGGTTGAGCAAAACCCTGAATACTACGATCTCGACAAGTACGGAACACCGGTAAATGACCTCGACTGCATTGGAACAATCAACACATTTTGCAGCGCGGTAGTATGGCTCGGTCTTCCTCGACAGGGCATCTATCCCAGCCAGCAAGAAACGGATGACTACATCGCACTATGGAGGTTGGTTGCGTACTATATGGGTACACCAACGGATCCCTTTGAGAGCACAGCAAAGGCTCGTGCAATGATGGAGTCGCTTCTGATTTCCGAGATCGATCCTACTGAGACTGGAAAGGTCCTGGCGAAGAATATCATCATTGGCTTGGAGAATACGGCCCCGGCGTTCGCATCCAAGGAATTTATGGAGGCCATGACTAGACTCCTTAATGGAAACCAACTTGCCGATGAGCTTGATATCCCTCGGTCTAATCTATACTATCGCATGTTGATTTGGGGATATTGTTTTTGGGTCATGGTTGTTTCATACATTGTGCCAAAGATATATTTCATCGACAGGATTCTAATTTCGGTACGTGAAATAATCCACACTCAGGAAATTTCTAACAAAGAACTCTACTAGCTCCGTCGAAGGTACTACTACAAACTCATTCTCGATGACAAGATGGGTCTCGGGGAGGAGACGCGTTTCGAGTTCAAATACGTGCCTAGTCTCACTCGCACCACTCGCCTGGGCGAGCGAAGAAATACGAAATTTGAGAGACCCGGCATTGAAAGCTTAGCACGCCTGGGTCTTCTCGCAGCCTTTACTGCAGTAGCAACTTTGGGCATAGGATTTGTCTTTGCCGTTAGGATGATCCCTTCCCAGTTTTTTATGGTTTGTACATGATTCTACAAATATCATTTTATATACCTTGGTCTGATAACCCTTGTAAACATTTGGAAATGTGAGGGTGCAAAGGATTAGCGGAAAGTGGTTATGTATCAGGAACCTGCGGCAACGTGCAAGATTTTGTATTTATACCTAGGCCACCGATCTGAATCTTTCGACAACATCTTCTATTTTCCCCAACAGAACTCCCTTTCTTTCATCGGCAATCCAACTTCCACACACTGCTGAAATCGCGATAGTCTTCCAATCATCAATACTGAAATCGAACGCTTCTTGAACTGCACAATAATTATTGAGTATACCTCCCCCAAAGTAAGCTGGGTCATCGCTGTTTATGGAAAATTGCACCCCGAGATCCAGGAATTTGCGAAGTGGTAGGGAGCCGACGGACTTCGCAGTGCGCAAGTATACGTTTGACAGTGGGCAGATAGTGAGCAATGTACCTTTTGCAGCGATTTCTCTCAGAAGTACCTGGTCTTCAATCAGGCGAATACCATGATCAATTCGCTCAGCATGTAAATGGTCAATCGCTCCTTTGATGTAAGTAACATCGCCCTCCTCGCCTCCATGGGCCGTACGTCGCAGGCCCATTTCCTTGGCTTTCCCAAAGACGTTCGTAAATAACTCCGGAGGGAACCCAACTTCAGAGGAGTCTAACCCAACGCCATGGATAGAACCATCTTGTACAAAGTCGGCCGCAGAAGCAAAGGTAGCCTCGGCAGAAGGGACGGGCAGATGACGGAGAAAGCACATGACGAGCCAAGATGTGACTCCCAACTCGGATTCGGCTCGGTCTAAAGCACGCTTATAGCCTCGGATAACGGAGGCTATAGGGATACCACGTGGAGTGTGTGATTGTGGATCAAAGAACACTTCTGCATGGTGAACACCATCAGCATGGGCTGCAAGGATATAGGACCATGCTAATTCGAAGAAATCATCCTCGGTGATCAAGACAGACATATTGGCGTAGTGGATGTTGAGAAAGTCGTCGAGGTTGTCAAACTTCTCATATCTGGCTGCCAGCACCTCAGGATTTTGGTAGTGCGGCAAATCAGGAAGAGCAATATTGTTCTTCGCTGCAAGCAAAAAGACCAGCTCAGGGGTCAAAGCACCCTCGAGATGGATATGATGCTCGCATTTTGGGAGATTTAAAAGGAATGAATGAAGCGGTGATTTGCACATGATGTTAGGGTTTCTTTTCGTGCCGGAGGTGGAAAAAGGTAGTCACCTTTTGACTTTGCGTTACCCCTGCCCGTCTCTTGGATCTATTTTATACATCCTGCGATAGCGTTGCTATAGTTGCTAGTTATCTAGTGTGTAACATTCCAAGGTTATGGCAATCGAGAGCAACGTGCGGACTTTCCTGTCTGACTCGCCCGCATATAGAGTGAACGATACGAAATTCCGTGTCCAAGCTGGCACATGGAGATAACCCCACAATCCCGGATCTAGACCTAGATAAGAACTGAGACGGAGTCACTGAAAGGGGGCAATTGGGATCTGGCTACCGATGAATGTACTATCTCGGAAACCTGAGTACGAAATAATACTGGATTTTAATAGTTTGGACATAAGTGAAATAATAATTTTGGGTCTATATGTATGCTTCTTATTCTTGATACTGTCTACCTAAATAGCCAAGTTGCGACGGTATGCTCGCAAGACAAGATGGTAAACGCTAATATTATAAGTCAGTATCCTTCTTGAGAATTGGTTGATAGTGTAGAAAGAACATATTACTTACTCCGGACTAAGAACTCTTGGACCAATATAGTGCAGCATCTTTCACTACCTTCTTCTCCCATCCATCAGTCGTTAAAGGCCCTATCACCTCCACGGGCGTTTGGCCTGCTTCAAAGACTGTTCTGCATGGCATATCGAGAGTCAGGTTCTCAGCATTTCCGGGCCCTGTGAGCTCTAACAATGCTTTCTCCGATGCCAGATAGATAACCCGTCCAATATGAGCCCAGTAGATGGAGCCGGCACACATAGCACATGGCTCCCACGTTGATATCATCGTACATTCTGCCAGGTAGCTCCAGTCGTAGTTATCCGCAGCATTACGTGCCAATTCGCATTCGGCATGTCGAACATGAGAGAGCGAGAGCGACGTCATCAACACCGTCTCATTATCAGGACTCAACAGAAGAGCTGCGAACGGTCGCTTAGAGTGAATAGTTCGCCCAGACTTTTGGAGATCGAGGCATTTGGATGCACCAGAGGCAAGTTGCTGTGCCGTAAAGGGTGAAGCGGCAGCATTGTTGGGGCTGTCTTCAACCGTCATAGTGGGATGAAAACTGTCTGTCGAAAGGGATATTCGATACCGATACGGTAAAGTGGAACACTTTTAGATGGGTCGGACTTTGTACAACGAGCACTTTTGAATGCTGCTGCCAGACGCTTGAAAACCGAATATCCGAAATTCCGAAGAATAGCAGCGGCGACATCCGCCCGATACGAGGCAATCCCAGATAAACTTCAACAAACAAAGGATTGTGTAAGAGATCGCTTTGCTTATCAACCCCGCTTGAATCAATTCAAACAATTCATAGGACGATGGAGAGGATTGTAGACCTCATTTGGGTGTCGCCCAGGAAGCCCCTATCTAATGCTCATTATCTCTCCCGCTTTTTTCTTATTGGCAAAGACTGTCCCAATTATGGCGATAACAGGGTCTGGTTTTCAGTCGAAACATAATCTTCCTTATAAAGCGTGAGCCTAATCAGGGGGAAGGATTTAGTTATGCAGACAAGTTGCTCGAAACATCAACCATGAAGATTTCCGCCCTTCTTCACTGGCCGCGGCTCCAGTTGCAGGGGGAGTCACGATGGACGAATAAGGATCTAGACCCTGTGCCACAAGATCAACGACAATGGACAGTCCTCAGTTTCATTGGATACTGGATTTCGGATTGCTTTTCGGTTGCGAATTGGCAGCTAGCGAGCAGCATCATTGCTATTGGACTATCATGGAAAGATTCGTTGGGGATGGTTGCTCTGGGATTCTTCATCCTATCAATTGTGATATCCCTGAACGGAGCCATCGGAGCTATATACCATATCCCGTTTCCGGTCATTGCACGTGCAAGCTGGGGATTCTGGGGCTCCTATATTCCTATCATTTCAAGATTGATTCTTGCTGTGTTTTGGTTCGCCACTCAGGTTGTGAATGGGGGGAATTCGATGGCTGCCATGATTGGAGCTATCTGGCCAAGTTTCCTTGATATCCCAAATGCGCTTCCAGAGGGTGAAGGCATTACCACCCAGGGTATTATCGGATTTTTCATCTTTTGGCTTCTTCAGATCCCATTTCTCCTTGTCCATCCAAACAAGCTGCGTTGGCTATTCCTAGCGAAGGCTATCGTCGTGCCAGCTGCATGGATCGCTATGCTCGTCTGGGCTTTTGTCAGTACGTCAAATTCAGACAAGCTCTTTTCACAAAAGAGTCAATTGTCTGGCTCCTCCTACTCCTGGGCCATGATGTCTGCCTTAACATCAGTCATCGGAAATTATGCGAATTTGAGCGTCAGCCAAGCAGACTTTTCGCGATATTCCAGCGTCAACCCTCGGTGGCATACACTCTATGTTGTTCTACTCCCAGGAATGTTCACGCTCATCGCATTCATCGGCATCGCAGTCTCCTCGGCTGGACAGGTCAAATATAATACCGAATCAATCCCTTGGGATCCAAACGTTCTTGTTTCATTATGGAACAATCGAGCTTGTCAATTCTTCGGGGCATTTTCCTTTGCCCTCGCCGCACTTGGGTCCAACATCTCTGCAAACTCGATTGCAGCGGCAAATGACTTATCTGCTCTAGCACCTCGATTTATTAATATTCGCCGTGGTCAACTCCTTTGCGCTTTATTCGCCTGGCCACTGGTTCCCTGGAAGATACTCGCATCGGCCGGCAATTTTCTGAATTTCATGGTCGCCTATGCGATTTTCCTCGGACCTATCGCTGCTATTATGGTTTGCGATTACTGGATCATTAAATGCCGAAAATACGACTCTGTCGCCTTATATCAGCCTATGGGCATCTACCGGTACTTCCACGGGTTCAATTGCCATGCTCTGGTGGCTTTTATCGTCGGGACAGTACCCAGCCTCCCTGGCTTGATGAATTCAGTAAATGCAAGCATTAAAATTGGAGTTGGAGTTCATCCATATGAATTTGGCTGGCTGTTAGGGTTCGTCATCAGCACGATGGTGTATGTCGGTTTGAGCATTGTCTTCCCTTACATCGATTCGCAAATAGATGCCGCGATTCTTCCAGACGACATTTTGCAAGACGTTGAAATGGATGGGAAGGGTCTAGACATTGCGGCTAAAGAGTAACAAAGTCATACTCATTTGATCAATATTTACTTCTACAGGCTAGTTTCGTATCTAAAGTGGTAAATAACATTACAAATGCAACAAAATAGCTGCTATTAGATTTACACCTTCATATCCAGTTTCTAGTTCAGATAAATTACTTCGTCATACGAACAATAAGAGTAACCAACATTTTGTCAGCAATATCATAACTTGCTACTTACTAGGTCTCGACCCTAATAGTTAGGTTTATCGTAGAGGACGTATTCTCTCCTGACTTTTCTCATGTCGATAATTATATGTTGTTCGTTTGTTAAATTGCTAAACAATTAAGTTATAGATGAGGTCACCACGTGCATCTAATTAATGACACAATGCAGTAAACCTTCAGTTAATCTTCGCTGTTTAGTACTTGGACCCGTATTCGTCCACAATCCACTTGCAGAAGTCCTCCCAGTCCTTGTTCCAAGCTTGAATGTGCTTAGCCTTGGTACCAGTTCCGTCCTCGCCGCGGTCAATATCTTGGACCCAATCACTGTCAGACTGGTCTTCGAAGTTTGCCCAGCGTAGACTGTTTTGTGCCAGCGCACCCTGTTCTCCAGTGTAAGCAAGCAGCGTAAATCTTCAAAAGAAGGGTAACTTACCAATCCGGCGAGGCCAACATTATCAAAGGCTTGGATGGTTTCATAGAAATCATAACTCAAACCTGCCACGTCCTGTCCAAGGATGGCTGGATCATCGTTGCTGATGGCAGTCGGAATACCATGGGCAATCATTGCTGGCAACGGATGGTGGAGAACATCCTCGTTCAGACGAAGGACTTCGTTCGAAATGGGGCATACTTCGATCATAACGTTTTGCTCAATTACTTGACGGATCAAGTTGGGGTGCTTATATAAGGAGAAGCCGTGACCGATTCGTCGCGTGTTGAATAGGACTGCATCGAACAGGTTTGAGTCTGTCGAGTTGCCGTCTCCCAGAGTTTCTCCAGCATGGAAGAAATAAGGAATGGTGAGGTTCAAGGCATCGGTCTGTTGACGGAACCACACCAGTTCCGGCGCCAGATCAGAAAGAGGACGACCGAGATCTTCTTGGGCAACCAGGTCGTAGCCACTGAATAGCTCGGGGAAGTTTTGCTTCCTCTGGAGAGCGAGTTTCATGCCTATTGAGGTCAGCAATCTTGCTTTTATGTAATGCGTTGCTTTTCATACTCCTGGTAATTGCAGCGCGGTTCTTTATGCGCGCATCTGACCAAATAACTCTTGCACCCAAGAATTTCTTGCCCTTCTCGGTGGCCTGGAACTTCTTAATCTCATCAACCAAAAGATGCCACCACGTATCAAGGTCGGGGTCAATGTCTTCATCCCCTTCGTGGACTAGCTTCCCACTGGATCCGCCGCTTCGGATCTCCACCCAGTTAATACCGTCGCTTGCCAGATCCTCAAAGAGTGTCTGGTAAAACTTCCTAACGACAGGTTCATACTGGATCATGGTATCGGCCGGACCAAAGCAGGCCTGGAACTTTCTCCAAACCTCGTCGACACCTAACTCGTGACGGATCGAGTCCTCCGGCTCAATGGTTGTCTTACTTCTGATAAAGTCAAGGAAACCTGCTTCACCACCGTTAAAGTTGGTTGCGGCAGTTTTGACGGGGATCTCAGTGTTAGGAACATAATCAGCAGTGTCAATCCTGGACTGGTTGCTCGCAAGAGTGCCGTTGTTATGCCCGAAGGTGATGGTGGCATTCTGCTGAGCTTCCTCGGTATCAAGAGGCTGCGACGCCGAAATCACCATTCCTTCGGTCTGGATGATGATCTCCACGATCTTTTCGAACGGCAGCATGGCCGATAGATGAGCATGCAAAAGCGCACCCTTGGGCATACGCTTGATCACCTTCCAAAGGGTCGTGTTGGAGATATACGGGCGGGCAAGAGGGAACACCTCCCCTGCGAACCGTTCCTCTGTCGTACCGTCCGGAGTGCCAGCTACTCGCCAGTAATGGTCAATCTCATCCTGTCGAATTGCTTGGACAATCTCATCAGCCCGCTTGGCAGTTGCCGAGAGACCCTGTCGGAAGATATGATCTGGGTGACTAGTTAGGTTCTATTTGCTATAAAAAAAATGTCTGAAACGAACCCTGTCGATGTGTCTTTTCCAATGCGATCAGCTTCTGGCGGTCTTTAAGATGCTGCAGTACAAGAGTGTCATTGACATTTGGCTCTCCCTGAATTGCCAATGCCGCCGAGACCCCCGAAATGGAAAGACTGGCTATCCCAAGTATAGAAAGCAAACGCATGATGCCGGGCTAGTTGAGGTTACTAGTAGAGGAATAATCTTCAAATTTACGCTACTGTAGGAAAAAGCTACATATATACTCCATACATAGTTAAGAAAATGGTGGAGCTGAGGAAGGGTTCAGCTCGAAGCCCCTTGGCAGGTCGGGTCGCGTTGGTCCTGCATTGTGTCTTGCATAGTCACACAAACATACTGCATACTCTAATGAAAGTTCTCGTTCCTGCAGATGATTATTGGTGCGAGTACATTAGTACTGTATGCCTGCCCTTTTTTTTTTTTTTTACAAATCCATGCCGCCATGTCTATCTAGCCTACGGGGTACGGGGTACGGAGGACGGAGTACTGTATAATTCCATGTAAAAACCAGTGGTGATCAGAGTATGCAGTGTAGATTAGGATAGTGAGTGCATGCAATGATCTCTTAGCTACTGCACGTTTCCGAGAGGTCAATCTATCGATCTCTTGTCTATTGGGCATCGGCGCATAATTTCAGCTTATTGATGGGAATGCATAATAGGAACAATACCCCGAGGCCCCTGGCAATATCTCCATATCCTTTGGTTACATTAGCAACATTTTGTGGATATCGGAAACATTTTTTGTGGGTTACGGACTCACATATGCATGCTCTGTGTTACATATTTGGTCTCATTCTCGCATATTTTTATTGATCGTCGAGCCGTATTGTCCGCAGATAAAAATTCCACGCCCTCTGGAGTAGAGCACAAAACGCGAGAATCGATTTCAATGGTTGTTTAAAGAGACAAGAATGGAGTAGCCCATATATCCCCAGTTACTTCTGGCTAGTCCTAGAAAGATTCATCAAGAAGTGTTGAAACCCAGCTGGCTTCATTTCCGTCTATTCCAAATTGGTCGTGCATGTTCAATAGTTGGTCTTGGCAATATTGGCATCGTTAGTGTCCCGGTGCTCCCGGGGACTGTGATTGGACAGGTTTCGAGGGTCAGGGGGAAAAAAAAACAAATTAACGTACAATATGCGGAGTACTCCATACGAAGTTCTCCATACCCCCCCCGTAGCTTGTTTAGCATTGGGCAGCTTGGCAAGTCAAATTGGAGCGCCGATCGCCGAGGCCGCTGAACTTGAGAGCTGTACGGAGTAGCTCGTGCACGTTAGACCAGTTAAGTCAAGGTAACCTGCTGCACAACTCACTCTACATGACTTTGCATCACGAAATTTCCACAGAGGAAGTGCTACATACTGAGCTAGCGAGTTCAACTTGGCTCCTAGCCAGTTATTTCGTACACGCAGTACCCAATACCCAATACCTAGGCACCTGTGGGTAGACAGGAAAAAAAGAAAGCAGATCGCGCTCAGTGAGCCGCTTTACTCTGTCCTAGTTAGTAACACGTGATAATCCACACAGTGCGAAGTAAATTAATCCAAATACCCCATCTTCGACAGGTCAAATGTGAGGAGAATCGACACCAAAGCAATGGCAAAAGATATGGTATGAGAAAGCAGGATGCGTACATAACTAAGAGCTTGTACGATCATTATCAGACAAGTATCGATGGAACCTTACAGACGAGGTATTGACGGTCATTCTTGAGGGGGGGTTACAGAAAGTATAAAACGTGAAGTCTAAAGCAATTTCATAATTTGGATCGAGCTTGCTCTCCATATAGAGAATACAAGAACTGTTTTATGCTGCAATGTATTCCGTACAGACCTGTGAATCAGGTTGATTTTACAACTTAAGGTATAGTGCTCTCAATATACTGTCACGTAACCTCTCCTTCAGCTGGCGACGACCGAAAATCAAGGAAGGCAATCTTAGTGAAGTACCATTCGCAGTCCCTGGACAGCATGCTCCAGCTCGACCCCACGGAGATAAACGTTGACATGCCCGTGGTTGATAATGGATGTTAGGATCTACAGGCTAGTGGATGAGACATCACAATGTGATGTATGGAGTCCCGTGGTAAACAGTAGTTATGGTGATTTACAAAGTACTAGAGGCAAGGAGAGAACTAAGATACTACTATGCAGGGACAGATCATGTGAAAAGTTGTATGTACCATATAACTGTTTTATATTGGAATATTAAACGTTCCCTCATTGCTCGATTCTCTGCACTTTGCACTGAACTGCAGGTGGTCCAAGAGCTTATATAATAATATCAATGTTCCCACTGCGCAAGATATGAACATAGCCGTTTCAAGCACCGCCACCACTGGGTTTCTTCGCGTTAACATTGATCCTTTTATTGCACAAGCTGAAGGGGAAACCGAGGCCGCAGGTCGCGATAGTAATTGCAAAAACAACCCTGATAGCCCATGCGTACGCTTGGAGAACACTGTCCAACTCGGCCCCGGAAAATAGCCGGTGCACGTCAATGGCACCGGTACCCGCGACTATAGCGGGATCGACGTTCGGTACGGTGTTGGCAAGTTTTTGCACGATCTGGTTCACGATGCCGGATTGCACGGCTCAGAGCAATTTTGACCGGCCGACAGATCAACCCATTTGCCTGTCGAGGTCCCAATGTGCATTCTGTGTAGTTAGTGTGGGGTAGCAACTTACCTTTCGTTGTGGATCTTTTTTAGTGGAGATGTACGGAGTACTCTATAATCTTTCTGGGGTTAGAGTCGACCCCTGAGGACCCCGTTTTCACACCATTCTCCACGGCCAGGCCTGCATGTCTCGTCCGTTCGTCCCCTGTACCATTTCGAGGACGCGGAACCATCCAGTTCCCCCACCAGTAAGGCCATCCTCCAAGACAGTAAAAAAAAGGGAGCGGGACGATTCCAAAAGAGATCGGTTAAAATGTCACTGTCGTTGTGGCGTCGTTGTGGTCACGCGAACTAATCTATATGTAACTTGAATTATTGAGTGGCAGCATATCTCACAATTTGTAGGGTCTGGAAATCAAGCTGGCGATCTCCCCAGCCCTCAGTGGCATTCATGAAATTTCGCGCACGATCCAGCACACATTGTACCACATGTACTGGGTTGGATAATTCTGCAATCTCCGAAGTTCCCCATGTAGAATCTCGCTTTTTACCCGCGTTGTTCGTAATAAAGACTGGACAAAAAGTGACAATGGACATTAAACGGCGGTCGATCTCAGGTTTAGCCAGGAAATCATATATGTAGATGACCAGTGGATATATACAAATCACAAGGAAATATTTCCAAAGCTCAAGCTACTATGAAACAAGACTAATGTGATGCGCTGCGATATCTGTGACATCTAATTATCTAGCTTAAAGCTTAAGACAATGATAACGGTAGCTATGCTTGTAATATAGTCAACCTCTTGTCGTCCAAAATGCGCTGGAGATGAATGTTAACTATCCGCTGAGCTTCTGAGCGTACCGTGGGTGAGCACAGATCGGAACAATAACAAAAAATCAAGGCCAGAGTCCGCATCCCTCGCATCACCTTGATGGCTTCAAATGTTTCTTGTAGTGACGTTTATGTGGTAACCTGAAACTGTTGCCCACAAAATACCACGTCACCCATCGTCGTCATGCAATTCCAAGGCAATGGTACAGTGGATCACTAGTAAAGCTTCGCATCCTACACTGGACATTGAAGTTCGGATAAGATGATCGTCGATAGTTAATTCTAAGTCTAATTTCCTTTCCTTTTAGTCGGCCACTCATCAAACCTGTACATTCTAGGTCTGGCAAGATCGGCATTATGACGGCACGGCATTGCGTGGCCAAGACATTAAACGGCAGATCTCCAATTAGACGTATTCCTCCATGCGAAGATATTTTGGTTAAAGAGAGCTTGCTTGGCAGCAAAATACCCCATCTAAAGTGGTGTGATCTTGACTTCATTTAATCCCAAAATACCATGCGTTCCGCTTTGATCACGTTCGTCCTGATCCAGCTCGCTAGAAGCGTTGCTGGTGAAAATCATCATTTTTTCACTGGCGCGTTCTCTGGCGGTGATGTCTTTCTCATGGAATTCGACGACTTGTCAGATACATTGACCCTGCTTGCAAATGAATCTACCGTTGGGGATACCACCAAGTGGATCTCGTTCGATGTATGTGCGCTGCCGTGGATCGGGTGGTATTGGTGTACTGACCTTTGCAGGCACAAAAGAAGAACCTCTATGTAGCCCAGGATTCGTTTTATGGCAGCTACGCCATTGGAAGCAACCTGACTCTGACGTATAAGTCACAAATTAACCTCACAGAAGACTGTCCGTCACCCCATAATCCCCTGTTTTTAGCAAGAAGTGCTAATGTGTCATAAAGGTCAAAACCCCAACTTCATCGTCGGATCACTCCAAGCACCATACTCTGTTTTCGGTGTACCATTCAGCAGCGGCTGTTCAGGTCAGGCAATTCAAGTCGATAGTGAAGGAAGCCTCAAGGCAGTCACTGCCAATATCACATACAACACAAATGCCGGTGTTCACGGCTTAGCCATTAGTCCTAAGGGCAACTTTATCTATTCCGCAGATGACTCCGGCGATGCTGTCTGGGTCCACTCGTACGATAGTACAACTCAAACGTTGACCAAAGTCCAGCGAATTAGCGCTCCTACTGGTGCAAACCCTCGACATCTAACTGTGCATCCCAAAGGTCTGTACGTGTATACCGTGTTTGAGGAGACTACTGCGCTCGGCATTTACAAGAGAAACCCCACAACTGGAAGATTGACCTACACCAACCAAACTTACTCTTTGATTCCATCACGTTAGTATCCACGTTTAAGATTTCCTCTCTCTCAATGTTGAAGAGGCTCACGACATTGACTTCTCCATCCACAGAATTCACCAATACCTCCTCATACTGGGCGGATGAAGTTGCATTCTCAACTTTTGAAGGAAACAGCGGCGTGCCAAAATACTTGCTTGCCAGTACACGTTCCAGAAACACGACTGAAAAGGGGTATGTTACCGTGTTTACATTGGACCCAGAGAGTGGATCGATCGAAGAGAAGTTATTGCAACTCCCCACGACAGGCAGCGGAGGTAATGCCAACTCGGTATCGCCCGCATCCTTTAGCGAGGACTACTTCGCAATCACCGATAGCGGAAGTGATTTCGTCGAGATATGGAAGATCAAAAACCGGACTGCTGAGGCTGTCGCTCACTTGGATTTATCAGTTGGTCCGGCAAACATTGTCTGGTACAGTTAGAATTTGTCAGAGCGCTAGGATTATGTGTGAAGACTTTGCGTTATTTTGATTATAGACTGGTTGACGCCATGTGAGTCTGGATAGAATAGAGGTCCCGTCCTTTCGTTCCAGAGAATGTTATGCCACATAGATAGATACCATCATCGTCCCGGTCTCTTTGTGCCCCCACAACCTAGCCGACGGGCTTACCAGCCCGGCTGACCAGGTGGCTTTCCATGCTTGTGGAAGGGCATAGTTCTCAGGGTCCCATGTTGTAATTGGTGCCTGAATTTCAGGCTCAAGCCTTAATTTATACCGCTTCAGGACGCAGTTCATCTGACCCCTATACCCCCCGAGCTGAGCTTACCGTGTGATCCCAAGGGGTTTGCAGGGTTTGCATATGAATAATCAAATTTCTAGGGCCCATCATGAATGTTATCAGTGTCAAAGGCCCTATGTAGCATAAAGTCGATAAATCTCAAGTTGATTCTGGTCTTAAGAGTAGCCGAACCCAGTGAGAATTGAAGAGACGACCGATATCCTTCTTAAATTTATTTATACACCGAAATTATAAAATATGGAATAATCTCAACGCCAGACACTGCGTCACATTGCCTCAGCCTACGAACGGGATTTTTATATAGTGTTTATCATCTGGTGCTGAAAGGCCCGACTAGGCCTAGCCCCGCGAACATGTTAAGCGGCTAGGTGGCGAGAAATACGCATATCACACGATCGAGCCCAAAACCAGAGCATTCCAATGCGATTGATGATGGCATGCATGTATATACCCCGGGCCTAGAGGCCAGTATTGGAATATATTAGGTGTAACACTAGATCAATCTTCCCCCATTCTTTGCCTTTTAATTGACTATCATGATACCCAAACCTAGAACAATACGTCTAAAACATGAGAACACGAAAAAATATACAATTTTGACACAAACTAGAATAGTAAAATGAACATGGACACGCAAGTTATGTATTATAGAACTATATTGTACTGTCGCTATCGGACCGGTCCAAGCTGCTAAGATCAAGGGGCGAAATACAGGAATGACTGTACCCGCAGCCAGCTGTGTAATCCAATTTTTACCTGGATTAAGACTCTTACACATGCCCACGTCATCTACTGCTTGATTTCCTCTCACTTTTAAAGAGATTATTAATAGCCAGACCATAATATCTAACCATATCTACCAGTAAGCCCTATATTTACTAGTCAGCCATTTTCGTATCCTCTGCCTAAGTTCCAGCAACCCCGCTCAGATCAAGACATCAGCAAGTACATATGGTACTGTAGCTCTATCAACATCTCGCCAGGTTGCACCGACTTGGGCCGCCACAATTTTACTACCTGGATCTACCATCACCGTACGTATCTTGAATAAATCGATGCCCAATTCTGCCACGCGCTGAGGGTGCTGCGTCTGCGGAGTGGCTTCCAAATTTGACCACGAAATGGGCCGAGTGTTTTCTGCAAAAGCGACAACAGTCGCTACCTGTTAGGATGGTGTACCACACATGAATGCCCCCTGCGAAATGAGAAATGAAAAATTGAAACGATGGAGTCTGTCTCGAAATCGAGAAACGACGACTGATATAATTATCTTGAGGCTACGATTTCGGTTGAAAAATACTTGCAGCCTCCTTTACACACGTATCACTCCATCTGGTGAGGTCTCAACATAACCTTCTAGATGATAACCCCAGAACCTCTTGCATTATCCTAAGATCCTTGCTCAATTCGATTGCTGTGGTGGACAAAAAAAGCTGGTATATTCATGCAAAGAAAAATCCCATCAAAAAAAAAAAAAAAAGAATACGGAGATTTGACAGTCAATATATGATTGAATAAGAAATGTGCCACCATTCAGTTATGACATGAACCCGAGTGGAGTCCTAACTCTTGTGTAAGTGGATTACATAGCTGGATGGGGCTAGAATCCTTGATATGGTCATTATCGAGTCGTTGCTACCGTTCGCCCGATGACGACAGCATAAATAAAGGTGCCACCTGACATTGTCAACACACCACATTGAAACTGTCACTTCTGTATTGTATAATTTCACCTGCTGAGGCCAGGATTTCTTGGGGAGGGGTCAGTTTTGCCCCCTACGTCATTCCAGAATTATACGATATATCTAACTCTCGCGCAACAAAATTAGCAAGCAGTTCGGTCCACTATAAGTCAAATTGTGGTCATGCCCTTCTTACCATTATCTACTATTTTGAGCTTAAGGAAGGAACTGGAAGGAACTGCTGCCGAAATTTTGACGTGGGGAAGTGACGGGTACGGTGATAGCATTAAACAATGGAGTGACTCTTGTGATGAACAAGTTGTGAGTGCTGTTTACCGAAATTGATACCGAAATGCAATCACTGATCAATTTTTAGGGTGCCGTAGTTCGGGTCACATCAGCCGGCGAAGCAGCAGCAGTCGTCCGCTTTGCCGCATGCCATGAAATTCCTTTCGCGGTCAAAGGCGGGGGATACTCCACCAGCAGAGCCTCCACAGCCCGCGGTGGTATTGTCTTGGATCTTTTGTATCTTCGAAGGGTCAACGTGGATCCCGTATCTCAAGTTCTCACTGCTCAAGGCGGGGTCTTGTGGGAGGATATCGATGTTGCAGCAGCTCAGTATGGGCTAGCAGTCGTTGGAAGTACACTAAACCATATTGGCGTAGCAGGAGCAACATTAGGAGGAGGTTATGGATGGTTGACCGGCCAGTATGGCCTGGCGATCGACAATTTGCTCTGGGCAAAGATGATCCTAGCTGATGGCAGCGTGGTTACCGCTTCCGAAGACCAAAACCAGGACCTCTTTTGGGCTATTAGAGGTGCCGGTCAAAGTTTTGGAGTAGCCATTGAGATGAGTTTCCGAGCTCATAAACAGAATCACCCAGTATTTGCCGGGACTCTTCTTTTCTCGGCGGACAAACTTCCTAGAATTGTCGATTTTGTGAACCGATTTGAGACCATCACCAATGGTAAGCAGGGGTTCTGGTTTGGGTTCACCGCGTCACCTTCAATGGCCGAATGTGCCATCTTGGTGGTTGTCTTCTATAACGGAAACCAAACAGATGCAGAGGAATTCTTTTCCCCAGTACTTTCACTGGACCCAGTGGTGAACGAGACACAAATGCTTCCTTACGATAGTCTCAACGGAATGTTGAATGCGATGGATACAATGTCTCGCCGCAGAAGTCATGAGGGATTTGATATCATGTTCCCTGTCGATGAAATCGTGGGTCCTCGAAAAAGCCTGCGGGGATCAAATATCACTCTCCCTCTAGATCCTAAGCTTGCAATATCGATATATCACGAGTTCGGCGGCATCTTGAGAAATTTTTCAACGGCCAGGGACAGCATATTACTTTTTGAACTCCTGCCAAACACACAGGTTGCCAAGGTTCATAACGATGCCACTGCTTTTGCCAGTCGAGGCCCTTACTATAATGCCAGTTCTCTATTCCGATGGCATGACCCTCGTCTGGATGAAGAAATACACTCACTACAGACGGGTCTGATGGACCGCATCGGGACATGTGCAGGCATTCGTGTCCGATCCGATTATAACGTAACCATGCACGGAACAGGAATATATGCGAACTATGCGGGTATTTTGACGGGTGTGGCACCTCAGATGTATAACAACTAACAGGATCTCAGGGAATGATCAATCCAACGAGGAAATATTCGGACACAACCTTGCACGACTTCGGGAGCTGAAGAAAAAGTATGATCCTCATAATATGTTCAGAAAGTGGCACAACCTCGAAACGCCTACCGCCACTTCAGGATAGTATTTGGACTCTATGGATGGGGTTTGGTTAAGTAGGTGTGTACTGGTAGTTATCGGTGTTAATGCGTTGGAAACGGAAACTTCCATTTGATTGTCCGATTTTGATATGATTCTCTACGCCAAAATGAGAGAATGAAACGGGGGCTTCCTCTTTTATATCTCGTTCCCTCCAAGAGAAGCTAAGCTGTCTTTCACAGTATTATCAGTGTGCAAGGTAGGTGAATTGAAGCTTAATAACGAAGTCAAAAGTCTGAAAGTCACCATGGTGGAGTATATGTAGGAGCTGAGCTGACTGGTGGAGATAAGATAAGGTTGGTCACGTGATTATGGGTCACACCGGTCAGCTCAGCTCGGGGTACAGGGGTCAGATGAACTGCGTCCTGTCAGATGAACTGTCGTCTCATACCGCTCCAGGATTAGGCATCAAGGCGCCAATTACACATTTGACCCCTAAGGTATAAATGCCAAGAAAATGAGCGCCGCATGCTACCTGATTGGGTTTAGCGTCCCCATGCAGTGCGATGTCAGTGGCTTTGGCGAAGCATGAACGTTCGTATTGCTGAAGAACATATCCATTGAAATCCATGCCCCCATAGATCAACAAGATTAATACGATCCACAACAACACCGCCTCAACGATCATCAAACAGAACTCTAGAAATGGCTCAACGCAGCGAACTGGGGCGGCGCATCGTGCCACTGCCCCCAAGAGCTACCCTGAAAAGATCTACAGAGCGGTACATCAGATCAAATCGAGGTTTCCCACGCTGAATTTAACGTACCAATCGTTGTTACTTTGCCACCGTCTGCCCGTTGGGTGGACATGGACGCACCAATAGATCGGGATGCTGATGGCGCCCAAGTATTCCAGCACAGGATTAACTGTGACGCAGCCCTGTTGCGCGGAGAGTAAATCTCATGCTAAATTTATGGCAGTTTGAAAAATATATAAGACTACGCCGGCATGCAGCATCCGTTGAAGTTTTAGTCTCCATAGAGCTTTACTTTGAATTGAAAAATTGAGCCATTCTTTTCAAAGGCATCATGCAGCTACCAAATTATGTGCTCGCTAGCTTGGTTTGGTTCCCGGCAGCTTTTGCCAACCTTCTAGGACCGTCATATCCTCCCCCCAGGGACTTGTCTAGCAGTCACAGCCGGGTCGCTGCCAGTTGGAAGAACCTGACATCCCAACTGAACACCGTCCTCGCCGATAAGGGAACCAACAAAACGAGCGGGATTTATGAACTAAAGAACCTCACATTCTCCGCTGGGTTGTTTTCCACGCTTGACCCGAACGCCAAAGATCTTCAATTCCACCACACTGCCAACGAAGTCGCAAAATCCCCGGTGGGGGTGAAGAAAGTGGATGGGAATAGCATCTACAAGGTCGCCAGTGTGTCAAAGCTCTTTACAGTTCTTGCTGGGCTTATAGAGCTGAAGCCTGGGGACTGGGACCTTCCACTCACAGAGATATTCCCATTCTTGGCCGACCATGTTCGCAAGCAACACAACAATTTTCGGCTAGTCTACGATGTTCAGTGGGACAAAGTCACTCTCAGGTCCCTTGCGGGCCAGATGGGCGGCATACCACATGGTGCTACAGAGGAGTTCCTACAAACATTTCTCCTATATAAGTACCTGGAAGGCTCTCGCAATCCCGCGTTGACTGATCCAAATTTCTACGGTCTACCTCCTCTGAACCAGAGCGACTTGACACTATGGCCATCATGCTTGGGTGAACAGACCCAGGGCTGTAACCCAGTCTCCTGGGACGTGGCATACGCCCCAAGACCTCCTGTTTACCTTCCCTGGACAAGCCCCGAGTACGCAAACGGCGGTTATATTTTCCTCGGTCTCGCGATTTCAAATCTGACTGGAAAGACAATGGATGAATGGTATAATGATTCTATTTTTGAACCCCTGGGATTGAAGTCAACGTACTCCTCACCCCCTGACAACTCTACCCGCCCTCATTCCGTCACATCAGAGGCTCTTGATCAGCAGTTCGTCCCCAATGGCGGCGCTACAATCCCCTCTGGTGGATTATTCTCCACAACAAACGATCTTTCCAAACTCGGCGTCGCCCTCCTGAATTCCACCCTGCTCCCCTCTGAAAAGACACGGGAATGGATGAAACCTATCACTCATACGTCAAGTCTACGCTATTCTGTCGGCTCGCCATGGGAGATCCACCGATTCGTCCACGCGGGATCAGGCGTTGTCACCGATCTATACACAAAGCTGGGAGACTCGGGGTTCTATGGTGGGATCGTGGTCGTGATACCGGACTTCAACGCCGGCTTTACCCTCCTCTCAGCCAGCACGCAAGCCAGCCGCAGCAGCGAGGCGCTGTTAGCAATCGACCTTATCGTCGATGCTATCCTACCAGCCCTCATGGAGCAAGCCGCCGCGGAGGCAGCGCAGAAGTTTGCCGGTACATACAAAGCCGAGGACTTGAATTCGTCGTTGACACTCGCTGTTGTCCCACCTAACCAGCCAGCACCTGGTTTGAATATTACTTCGTGGGTTAGCAATGGCACGGATATCACGGCGTTAGTGTCTACACTCCTCGGTGGTCCCGGGTCACGACTTGTGCCATCAATTATCAACGAGCAGGTTACTGGGGAAATTGCTTTCCGGGCATATACTGCTACCCAAAGCCGAGGTCCTGGAGTGGGTTCCTCGTCGAGTCTCTTCTCTTCTTTCTATGATCTCGGCGACTGGACTATGCTTGACCAGTTGACCTGGGGCGGTATTGCTACCTCGCTCTTCGTTTTCGATGTTGAGGGAAATGGAACCGTCAAGTCAGTGACACCAGGTGCCTACAGAGTGAAAATGGCGAGAAAGTGATTCAGCCAATATTCAACGGGGGGAGGGGGTTTGAATCGGATAGAAGGCTTATATTAAGTACTCGCGGATAATAGAATTGAATTCATTGCTGGCTTCTATATACAATATAATTGCTAGATTCTAATAACCGTCCCGCTTTCCTTGGACCTTAGAGCTACCCTTGGCCTTCTCTAATTCATTGAGCATACCGTCACCAAACACAGCAACGTCAGTGGTGATAGAGACCATATCAAAGCCCTGTTGTGTCCGGCGAAGAGCGTCATCTCCATCGGAACCTATAAGATATAGTGTTAGACACAGGCACAGAACCAGCAAAGAGAAGACTTACAGAAGATGGCAGCCTTCTTTCCTGCAGATCTAGCAGCATTCAAGACACGTTGGATAGCAGCCTCGTGCTCCTCACCACCGCGGGTAACGCGCATCTGCTTAGCAAGGTCAAAGGGTCCTGCAAGAAGAAGCGTTAGCGAGTTCCACCAATCCAATAGAGAGATATCCAATCGCACCAATAAACAAAACATCAAGTCCCTCAACCTTAGCAATCTCCTCCACATTTTCAACGCCGGGCCGCGATTCAATCTGCACAATAACCAAAACCTCGCCATGGGTCTTCTCATCGTACTCGGCGGGTTTGACACCGGGGAATGAATGAGGCGTAAACATGGGCCCATATCCACGGACTCCGACTGGCGGGTACTTGCAGTAGCTGACGACCTTGGCAGCGTCCTCCTATTAGAGATAGAAACAGACATTAGCAACTAGGTATGGTTATGTGCAAGATCCGAGGTTACACATACTGCAGAGTGACACATGGGAGTCATAACTCCATGGGCACCAGCATCAAGAGCGCGCTTGATCATCCACTCTTCAGGCCAGGGCACACGGATAATAGGGCTAGCGCCCTCGTGGCCAACAGCATTGGTGAGCTGGGTAGAAGTGTTAATAATTTTATTCTCGAAATCAATTCAATGATTGAGGGACAAACCTCGTAATAGTGGCTGTCATTAATCAATCCATGTTCGGCGTCAACTAGGACCCAGCTGAATCCACCCTCTGTGTATTCAGGGCTGCGGCGGAGGATTGTCTTTGCGACGGGAGCGCTGGGGAGGCTGTAAAAGGTGGTCAGTTGGTTTTTTCCGTTTTGGATAAAGAACTTTTGAGGTTCAATTGAAGAACCGGGGGGAGCTGATGTTGCCCCTCTCCAAATGTGGGGGATAAACATACGTCAACCAGAAGCCGTATGCCACTGGGGTGGTTTGTAGGGCGGAGCGGAGGGCGATGGAAGACATTATTTAAGACGGAGAAGAATTTGAGTAATATTTATGAAGAGTAAAAGGAGATTTTGTTCTTTTCAATGTTTCTTCATGTTCTTCATGAGGGGACAACTCGGTCTTACTCCGACCGATTACCCGAGGCCCCCCACATTTTGAACATAGACTGTGGGGGGAGCATGGATATTCCAAACATTCTGGTTTATATGAGATTCACTTCTACACGAAATGAAATTAAATGAAATTCTATTGTTTACTTCATCTTCGATTGACAATATACATTCCTAGATACTGGACACTGGACAATGGTAGCAGACAAAAGGTCTGAAGGCCAACTCAAACCCGGACATGCTCTTCAGCAAATTCTCTGAGAGTAGTTGTCTCCAAAGGAGCATGAGGTACCCAAAGATCCTTGGGATCAAAAAGGAAACCCTTCCCTTGTGCGAAAACAGTACGGCAGATGTTTCCCACGGTGAGATTCTCCCGCAAACCATCCTGGGCTTCCTTCTGGGTGAAGAGCTTCCGCGTGAACTTCTCTCCAGTAACCTCCTCCATGGCATTAGCCACATCGCGATAGGAAACCGTGTCCCCGGCAACATAGACCGGCCCGTTCACAAAGACAGCATCTCGTTCCGGCCCTAGCACAATCTCCGCCGTGAACTTCCCAATATCCTTCGTGGTGGTGATCACAAACTGGTTATCCCAGTCCTCACTGCCGTAGACAACCTTGTTTTCCACATCCACCAAACCCCCAACTGGAGGAAAGATAACACTGGTAAAAAACCCCGTCGCGAGTGCCAACCACCGGGTCGTCTTCTGGGACCGAAGCAACTCTTTCGCATCCAACTGCTCGTCGAACATTCCCGATTCTCGTCCGATGGCCTCATAATCCATGCCGAACTGCCATGGGATATAGTACGGCACTTGGGCAGCAAGAACGGCTTTGGAGATTTTGATTTGAAGCCCGCTTTGGGCCATGTACCCGGTGCAACAAATGACGACTTCGAATTCCTTGAAGATTGAGGCGAGTTTCTCTTCGGAGTCCAGGGTGAGGTCACTAGCTGTGAACGTGATTCCGAGTTCGCGGAAGCTCTCGGTACGCTTTGCTTTGCTCGCCTCTTTGGCATTGATGGAGCTCTCCCGGAGTAGGACTGAGATGGTTGTATCGGGCTGTCTTTCAGGATGGTGGGCTAGGGCTTGCAGAACATAGGTGCCTAGCTCACCGGCTCCGATGACGAGGATGCTGCGAGGGGTGCTCATGTTGGAGGGATTCAGAGTGAAGAAAGGTGCAATACTATGAATGAGGTTATAAGGTAGCTCTTGTCGAGTGCGAAGATGGTTTTATACTGATGTTAATTGTCAATCAACCTATAGATTTCTAATCAATCTTGTATACATTGTTAATCAGTCTTGAATGCATTGTTAATCAAGCTCTTATACATTGTGAATCAGCATAAGTATAACTAGATTGTGAATCAATCTCCTATAACCCTAATACCAAGATGTCAGGATATAGTTACGCGGATAGATATTACCCCGACTCGGAGACATAATTGTGTCTCAAATATGAAACCCTAGATGGTCTACTCCAATGGTACCGAACAAAGTTCAATCTGTAAATACTTTTTATTTTCTTTTTATTGCATAATTACTAGAGGTGAATTATGCCATGTGCTTAACTCGGAGTGCGTGTACCTCGGAAAGGAGACCAGGGTGATAGTCTAGTGTTTGAATTCTTTGATTATAGCACATAGGCAATAATATGGCTGCCTGCTAAGGGTTATAACCCATGTAAACTTCTTCGTAAGTTGCTTTTATAAAGAAAACCAACTATTAGTTTATTATACTGTTGTAGTGTGTCGTCCATCTCTATTTCCCGATTCTGGGTTGAAATAATACGTTCAGCTTTTAAAAATACAAACAAAAACGAACTGAAAAACGAAGTCATTCCATTTTGTATATTAGTAACGCGACTTATTTATTTTCGCAATGCGGGATACATAGGTGACCACTATTCCCGCTTCATACCTTACCCCTGTGCTCTGTAGTTTTATAATTATTTAGACATCTATGGCATTTATGGCATGAATGTACAGTATTGAGTTGTTATAGGAACTTGAAATTTAGTGTGAAGCAATTGAAGCTACTGGAGAAGAGAGCCAATTAGGGCTACTCTTCCCTTTATAGCACCCCACAGGGAATTCCCGTGCTCGGTAGTGAATTCCCCCGAAGACCCGAATATTGTCTGGTGAGAATGATATACATATGACAAGAACAGTTGTTTATAGGGCTTGTATACTGCAGTGTAAAAGGGCAAAACCACACTATTTGTAGGTTTAACATGGTCACTATGACGGCACGGCCATTAGAATTAGAACTTTTTTTTTTCACAAGAGAGGTAGCTAAACGCGTCAGCTATCTAGAACAAAATGCCCAGCGGGGGTTTGGTGACACCCTTCCTGGGTGCACTACAAGCCTGTGTTTCGGTGTTGCTGACAATGTGCTACGGTTTTGCTGCTCGTCGACTCAATTTGATCCATGAGACTACCATCAATGACATGCTGGGATTAGGCGTGAAACTCCTCCTACCGGCGCTACTTATCGTGCATCTGGGTGAACAGCTTCATCTTGGGACAGCGATGAACTATATTCCAGTTATAAGTATATCATGTCGACCCCTGATGGACTCAACATGACTGACTTATCACGTCTATCTGCCATTACTAGTCTGGTCAGTCATCTACACAACTACATCGATCGGCCTTGTGCATTTCTTATCGCGTCTCCTTGGCCTGCCGCAATGGGTTACACCAACTTGCGCGTTCAATAACACTACATCTCTACCCTTGTTACTCCTCCACTCCCTAAAGAGCGTAGGCAGTCTGAAACTGATCCTGCGAGATGACGAAACCACATCATCAGCAATCGACCGTGCTCAGAGTTATTTCCTTGTCTGTGGTGTGGTAAGCAAGACTATCGCGTATATCGTTGGACCCAAGATGTTACAAGATTGTGGGAATAGTCTTAGTACCCCAGAGGAGCGATATCGTACCCCAAGTATGCTGGCAGAGGACGAGCAACTCACCGAAGAAACCTCACTACTTCCGCAGCGGGCTCAAGAAGTCCGAACATCAGCCGGGAACCTGATTCGGCGATCAACGCACTGGCTAGGCTCATTATTCGCCCATCGAGTCAAGCAGGAACTCCTCGCACCCTTCGAATCACCATTCGCGGACGTGGCGATACTCTGTACTATTTTGGGCACGGTGCTAGGGCTGGTCCCCTCATTGCACCGAGCATTCTTCTTCGACGAGGAAGACGGCGGGATATTCAATGCATGGCTGACTGCAAGTATCAGGAACATCGGCGGGCTGTTCACAACGCTGCAGATCTTCATGGTTGGGTGTAAGCTTGGAATCACGTTTGAGCGGATGGTTGCAGAAGGGCACTCGGCACGAATCCCTGTCAAGGCTATCACGACCATCTTTGTCATTCGGTTGGTGGTCTGGCCGGCGTTGAGTGTTGCGCTGATTTATGGATTGGCTAAGAGGACCCAGCTCCTTGGTGATGATCCAATTCTCTGGTTTAGTATGATGTTAATGCCAGCTGGTCCACCGGCGTTGGTTATTTCCGGGTTAGCGGAATTGGCGCAGGCGTCTGAGATGGAAAAGATGGTTATTGCGAAGACGTTGACGGTATGTAGCGATGACTTATGGGGAAAACAGACATTTCGCTAACTGTATCTATAGATCATGTATGCATTGTCCCCATTTATATGTTTTAGTATTACGGGGGCGCTTAAAGCTTCCGAGGCAGTGTTGAGAGTGAAACAGTGAGGTCTACATGTCATGGAAAGACTTTAAAAAAATTATTATTGATTCGAGAGATGAAAATTTGGTTCTCGAAATATTGGTTGCATTTGTTTTTGATGCTCAAAAGCTTCATTGATTTCATCAAATCGTCACCATATCCATCATCCACCTCGAAAAAAGAGTGTTGTTATATTGGGAGTTAGGAGTCGAGGGGCGTGAAGAAACAGGTTACTTCTAAAGTTAGACATGCTCAGTTAGCCTTTGGCGTCTGAAACATCATGGGGATATCACATACTCCGCATCCCGTGCAGTCACACTTGTCGCCACATGAGCAGCTCTGGGCACCGCCAGTACAGTTGCAAGTAGATCCACAGCCACAACCCATAATGAAAAATTGGCAAATGGTAATAGTATGTGTAGGAGTGTTTGATATTATTGGTGATGAAATGAAGAGGACATTGGAGACTGAAGAACAAGCGGATTATATACCCGTATGACTGGCATCATCATCATGGCGTCAGTGGAGAAACCATGAAGTGTACAAGATAACAATCACGTGGTTTATCCATCTGGCTAGAATTTATGTAATAGAGTGGTAATAAATAGATACCTAGGGTTTCTCTGCGTGGCAATGTATGTGGAGCAGGATGTAGGTATCATTGACATGCTACTGAATATATATATGACCAGAAATAATGCTTGCGAAAAGATAACATGAAAAAGACGCAAGCAACAAAAGACAAACATAGTTAGAAAAAAACAGGGAAACAGAAAAGATAAAGTAATACATAATAGACAAATGAAAAAGGTGGAAAAAGAGAAAAGATTGTAACCCGCATGTAGATAGTGGCGATGAAGGAACATTGTTCCCCCGAGGCTCGGATGCCACATCTTGGCTAACATCGTCATACAACAACAAAGTCCATGCAAACGATGTCATATACCTCCATGATATTACAAAAACAAATTGTACAGCTCGTCACTCAAAACCACGCAAAAGTTCAAGCAGCTCAGTGGCGAAGACGCCATGGGAAAGGCTATCCTGCCAACAACCCACCGGGAGATTGTCCACCCGGAAACTTTAGCCCAATGTAAGACCAGAGAAGCAGCTAATGGACACCAAGGGTTTTTATAGTTCGATTATCGCAAAAGGAAGCCGTGTCAAATGTCATATCAACACAAAAAAATCAGCGGAGGGATTAATTCATTCTATCGCTGGCAGTCTCAAGTAATTCTGGCGGTGCAGTCGCAAATGGTTGACGAGCATCTCAAGCTATCTGAGACCAGTACTGGAAAGGCTTTTGGTATGAACATAGCCAAGAATATGGAGGACAACTACCGGCAACAATTAGAGTGATAATGTGATCCCCCCATGAACTGGCATGAAATGTTCTCCGTATCGTTCTTAATCTGGCAACTCCCCTTCACTGGTACGATCATTGGTGTCTTGAATCTGAAGGGCAACGATTTAGTGAATCAGGAGCAATATTCCTACTTCTATTTGTCATAGAATATAAGCAGGGGAATACCGGCCCATAATCAAGTAAAACAAGCGTATGATTCCGATTGCTCCACCCATGATTTCACCGCGTCGCTGGCCTCGCGTAGTCTGGAGGAGTGTCTGCTAGGTGGTGATCTCGATCTCCTTACTAGCTACTTTTCTACTTGACAGCTTTTAGTCTAAGAGGGGAGAACATCTGGGACATCAAATAAACAATTATCCGTGAGCTACGCAGAGTGCAAAAGGAAGAACGGCGTGGATCATCCTTTTCTACGATTGCTAACACCAGACTGTGTTGTGGAAAATCACCAGGTTAAACAGCTCAGAATGGATAAGAAACAGAGCGACACAGTATAGAGGAAGGTGCAAATAAAACATCGAGCAGAGATTGCTCAGATGCGACGTCAGCTCGAAGTAACTAGTCGCGAAATAAATGAATCGGATGGAACTCGAGCTTGCAGCGAAGGAAAACAAACTTCGACATTAACTCGATCAGCATCGACGTGAACAGGCGGAGCTATACGCCCAGCGGGAGCGTCGTGAAAAAGCTTTAATCTCTCTAAACTTTTAGACTTATGCTGGTATTGAAAGGAAGTATTTCACGTGAAATCACATAGACATATTCCAATGTCGCCCTATTAATCATGTACACTACCTACCTATGTAGGTAGAAAAGGTAGAAGTCGGAGGTGGGGCTGACACGGAGGTGGGGGCTAATAAGGTTTTCTCCGGTCTGGGGCCGGCTCGGACCGATCACCGATCACCGACCACCGACTGTGACGCCAACCTTGGAAGTCTCCGGCTTTACAGGTGGTCTTTCGGGTGCCGACCTACCTAGTTAACCGATTAACATTGCAAGCGCTTTTCCATACAAAGCTTGGCCTACGGTCATGCCTTCAGGGGCGAGCCCCCCGGGGTGCCCCAGGAGGCCTCTACACCAGCAGACTAGAGGGTGAAGATCCCATGTGCCTCCCCTATGTCAATGAAGACAGTAAGTCTCCAGATCATGACCGAGATAATCCCAGCTTTTGAGCACCTTAGCATACCCTTTGAGAGCCGTATCTCTGTCCAAACCTGCTATAGAAGTCTGTCGTGGAGCATCCTAAACCATGTCGAATATATATTCCCCCCACGCCAGTTCCGATGGTTACGCCCGAGTTAGACGTGTCATGTCCAGAGGGCCAGCGCAAGTGCTATGGGCTCATGAAGTATCCGAGGGAGATTCACTGATAATATCATTTTAAATAAGCATCTGGACTTTTTGAAGCGGAGTTTAGACCTAAGGGGCTTGAGTGATGAGTGTTATTCACCCAGTCCACTGAGTAGAATAAATATATTATAGTGTGCAAGTTCCAATATGCACTAGATTTAAGGCGGCCGCAATGTTCCCGATCGGGGTGTCCACAAGCTCAGGGAGGTCACTCCACCGCAGGGGCTAATGTGCGCACGGACAGATGATAACTTTTCGGCCTCATAAACAGCAAAACTATCTCCGAGTCATTCCGCTAACCCCGGCTACCCCCCACCCCTATTGCTCTCAGATCTGTCATTTCTCTATCCTGCATTGGCTTTTATAGGCCTACATTCTATTTGATCAGTTGTACAATCATAGGTCTGTAAAGTCAAAACATCAAAGAATCACAGATCGCGCATTGCTCACAGATCAAATAGTTCTTACGAACACCATCACCCTCGCTGCCAACCAAGCGATCATTCATTATACATCGACGATGGATCAGTTTTTGCTTATTCTAAATGCGTTTGCCTCATTTTCTTCCGCAACAGCCGCAATAATTTCCACTGCAAACCCTGCATCCCTATCTGGCTCACCTGTTGTTACCACTGGCGAGCGTTTCTATCAACGCATGTATGCTGTTCGTGCTTTGCCATTGGAATTACTTGCTGGGATTCTCCCACTCTATCTCAGTGGTCCGGCGGTAGTTTCTGTCGTCGGTGCCGCTGTATTTGTTCAAGCAGCGGATGTAATCATTGGTATTGGCAGAAATGATGGAGGGATGGCTTTAGGGGCTTCATTTGCTACAACAGCCCATGTTCTATATTTATTTTCCATTCCCTCAGCCAAAGTTCAGAGATAGTCTGAAAATAGGACTATAAATATATCTGAAAAATTAAAAAGGATCTGTGCTCTCGCGAAATCAGTGATCCAGGCCCGGGTAAAGCAAGGCGCTGAGGACTCTATTTTGTATTTATTGGCCAGCTAGTATGTCATAAATGGAAGGCAATATTGTGTTTCATAGAACTCCACCAAACACGCATACTTCCCGGAGAATTCCCGTGTACTATAAAACCTGCCATCTGTGAAAGATGGCCACCTAATCGTGGGTGGGCCTTCATTGACGTCCTACCTTTGCACTGAGCAAAGGGTTCGAATCCATTATGATCACTTGTCATGAGCACATAGCCGCAATGGAGCAATACCAGGCGAGCGAGAAACATCATCGGTAGGAGGGAGTTGTTATTTTACCGGCTCTCCAGGGCTGTTTGTAATATTTCGGCTAATTATCTACAAATTGTCATGAAATACATCCTCCGATCTGATCAAGACCTCTGCCGCTTCGAATTCGAGGTTGACCCCCAAAACGAGTTTACGTGTGCCTTTGGTTCCCAGTTGTTTCTAGGAGGGAAGAAACCATCCAATTCAGCTCCTATTCCCGAGAAAGTCAAATGGCCTGATTACATGTGAGGAACTGTTAACTTGCCTCCAGACTATTCATCAAAAAAAACGTCATCGCCGCTAGGAACAACGTGGGCGACATTACTTATGCCCGCATCATGGCTAGTAGTGTTGAACGCCACCACATTAGCCGGAATGACTAGATATCTATTTCTAGCTCTTTTATCTCATCATTCCCGGTGTGACTAGGCCATAGTTTCCCGTCTCCGACATCTTTCTCAGTGTTGCTCCCAACGTGAGTTGTATGCGAAGCCAGCCGAGTCTACCTAGATCAGGATTCTAGCGCTGCCTTTATGTTAAGTGTTTTCCGAAGAAAGTAGACTACATGTATTGGGTTATATTAGGAGATATTTTGTCAATCTCTACCTCCTTAGAACCGATCTAGTCAGTGAAGTCAGGAACCACCCCGATATAGAGGCGTCGTCCGACCGAGAAGGAGCCCTGGTGAAGGTAAATATTCATTAGCGACCGAACTAAAATACTCCATCACTTGGTAAATAGGTGAATCGATTCTGGTAATTTTATATCGAGCAGTGTGGCGGATTTCAGCGAGCACATATATGGCTTCGCTACTGGGATGTCTAGGGAGCTCTCAAATGAAGCTTTCCCACGGTATTAATACCGGGTTTGGCCATCTGATGTCGATCGTCATCCACTAGACTCGACCAAAATATCATCACATGTTGGGGATAGCTCCGTTATAGTGAATGATATCGTTGGCGAAAAACGAGGAATATATAACTAATTTACTCGCGCTTCTCGCACTTATCCCGCACTTATCCCGCACTTTTCTCTCAATTAATTATGAAACGGTATATACTAAATGGTAAAGGCTTCCCCAGAAGTGTAGGAAGAGAGTACATAGTAGAGGTGTTACGGTCTGAATAGGTTGATTGTGGGGTCCTTCCTTTTCCATGTAGGCGACCGACCTCCAGGCCTACATATATAACGCTACCCAACAACACAACCCAATCCTCTTTTTTTTTTTTTATTTTCTTGTCTTTCGATATTTTAAATTCGAAATTTGACGCTTGACGTTCGATATTTGGGAAGTTTCATTGCCTTCCCGTGAACTGGTAGTTCTCCATCTCTTTATCGCTTTCTCCCTCCTCTCCCCCGATAAGCCACTACTCGTTCCCAACTCAAAGCGGAGAACGTTACGACCGCGTGATTTCTGACGATCTACAGCTTGATCATTTGTTACATCTGTGACTTTAGCACAAACCAGTGACCATCAATTTGACCCTGTGACAACTGCGCCCCTCTTGTACGGAGATCCCGGGCGATTACTTATCGGACACCCGCCACCGCTTGAGGTCTGCTCACCTGGTTCTTCCAAAGAGCCAGGGGATTGGGCAGATCTAGAGATATTGTCGAACTGGCTCACAATCCACCACCGCATCACCCCCTTATCGCCTCCGACCACCCTGATCCTTCTTTACCCGTCAATACAGCTCCCGCCTCGGTAGGCAATCCCGGCTCCCAAACGTCAGAGTTCCTGTCCGCCGCATCTCAACCGCCCAGCTCATCTACCCCTCGGCCCAACCGTCGCCGCCGCCTTTCGAGCAGTCCGGATATCCTTGGTCCCTCCTCGGCGGGGACCGGACACCTTCCACGAATAGCACGTGAGACCGCATCTCAGAATTACCCCAGCCGAGTTCTTGGCCGACCAGACGGCCGACCTCCTTCCCCCAAGCGCAGGCGCCTGGTAATCATGCGTCCCGACGGAACATCAACAGAAAATGGCTTCTTAGATGCCTCTAACGAATCCCTTGCATCCACATCGAGGAAGACTGCTCCGAATGGGCAAGCAGCAACGAACGGGAGCTCTCATGCAAATGGCTCTAAAGGGCCATCTCAGTCATCTACCTACTACGGCCACGACCGGGAGGAGGTGACGCGGATTTTGATACAGAGTCTGTATGAGCTGGGTTATAATGAGTCGGCATCCCTGTTGAGCTCGGAGAGCGGCTATGAACTGGAAACGTCAGGGGTTGCAACGTTCCGGAGTGCGGTGTTAGGTGGAAAATGGCCAGAAGCGGAGAGAATCTTGATTCAATCGTTTCGAAATGCAGGGTCACAGCAGGTGGATAGGAAATCTCCCCAAGAGGAGACCCTGGTATTAGCCGAGGAGGCCGACAGGAACGAGATGCTATTTTATTTGCGACAACAGAAATTCCTCGAGTTGCTAGAAACGCGTGATCTACCTGCAGCTCTCAACGTTCTTCGTCAAGAACTGACGCCCTTGAATTTTGACGTCGAGCGTCTACACGCCCTATCAAGGTATTGCCGATCTATAGACATTTCTAGAACATGATTTGCTTACCGGTTATTGTTGTTAGTCTGCTTATGTGCCCGACCGAGGTCTTACACGCCCAGCCGGGATGGGATGGCTCCATCAGCTCATCTCGTGAACGCCTGCTTGGCGAGCTGTCAAGTAAGCCCGATCTGGCCAATGGCGGTGGTGTAACCGGCTTGCTAATTCAGCCGCAGAATCCATTTCTCCCTCCGTGATGATCCCGCAACATCGCCTGGCCCTCTTACTAGATCACGTCAAGCACACTCAAATCAACAACTGCGTTTATCATAATACCGCCGACCCTCCGTCGCTCTACTCTGACCACATGTGCGACCGAAACGACTTCCCGTTGGACGTCATTGTGGACTTGACCCAGCACTCCGATGAAGTATGGTATTGCGAGTTTTCTCACGACGGCTCCAAACTGGTTACTGCTGGTAAGGATCATAATGTACTCATATATAACACAACAGATTTCAGCATCATCCACAAACTTACGGAACATGAGGATGGAGTTGCGTTCGCGAGTTGGAGTCCAGATGACTCCAAACTAATTACTTGCTCGCAAGATAAGAAGGCGCGTGTATGGAGCGTTGAGGTAATGATTTCTACAATCCCCGGTGAATCTAGAACCATATGCTAACCCGGGCTTGTGCATGGTTTAGAGTGGTCGTTGTCTGCTAACTATCAACCACCACCGTCAACCTGTAACTGCAGCTGCCTGGGCAGCAGATGGGGAGTCTTTTGTGACAGCCTCTCTTGATGCTGAATCACAACTCCGTCACTGGAGCATGCGCGGTCAGTCTCTATACACGTGGAAAGGCGGGTTCCGTGTACAGGACTGCGCCATTAGCGCGGACGGACGACGCCTTGTTGCTGCCGACACAGAAGCAAAGGTCCATGTGTACAATATGATTACATACGAAGAGGACTACTGTCTCCCACTGCCGAGCAAACCGACATCTGTTGCTATCAGCAAAGATTCGCGGCATATGCTTATAAACTTGGCTGAGGGTGAGATCCAACTAGTTGACATGGAAACCACCGCTGTTGTCCGTCAGTTCAAGGGACAAAAGCAAGGCGAGTTCGTGATTCGCAGTACGTTCGGAGGAGCAGCTGAGAACTTTGTCGTCAGCGGAAGTGAAGGTGAATATCTCAACATCTCATTTATGTATTGTTACTAACTGTCTTGATTATCCCCAGACTCCAAAGTCTACATCTGGCACAAAGAAAATGGAAACATTGTAGAGACTCTGGAAGGACATATCTCCGGATGTGTGAACTCAATATCATGGAACCCGGCAGACCCGGGAATGTTCGCATCGGCAGGCGATGACCATGCAGTAAGGATGTAAGAATCATTCTTATCCTCGTCTTACATTGAAAAAACTGCTAACTCGAACTTCTAGCTGGTCCCGTGAGGGCAATCGATCCCGTTCGGTAGGGCCAGTTCAACGCAGCGGGATACCCTCAAATGGAGTTACGCGAACAAGCGCATTGAGAACGACATCCGCTTTCTGATATTTGTGTACTACACACCGACGATGACTACCCCAACACCGGCTTTGTTCACGCTCGTTGCCTGTCTTTATTTGGTTTCCCCACGATACCATATCCGACTGAGGGAACATACCTGGAGCTTTGGATTGAACGACGATAAACCTGCTGTTCGCAATGTTTTTTTCTTGTTCTTCTTGAATTCTCTTCTGTGTTGTTCACTCCCCCCATCAATTCCCATATCATCATCATGCTGTCTTGCGCATATACATCGTTCGAGTCCCCCTTCCACTCCTTACGCTGTTTACTCTCTGCAGCTAGCATCTATTTCTTTCAATACAGGAAGCTGGCGTTGATCCATATCTTCTTTCTGGTTCTGAGGAGTATATATGTTCTGTCGTTCCTTTTTTTGGTGCAGTCCTGAGTTGGGTTTTACTTTTGGGGGGCTTTCTTGGTCATTCTTGATTCAACCGTGTTTTGTTGTGAGTCTCTTTAATTGAATCAATTTCATTATCTATATTCCTCGTTCCTACGTAGACCTTCGATATACTAGTAGGGATTAAGTGGGGCAGCCATAGAGCAATAGCCTTATTGACGTGCAGTGGAAATATTGCATCTCCCCAACCTCCTTACAAGGTTGTAATTATCTCTCCATCTCCATCCGTCATCTCTTTTCTTACTATCGAACTGATTCAAATTTATGTCGCCAGACTAGACCCAGAAGCAGGGCCAAGAAGCAGAGCCGCATTATACAAGAGTAAACTGATTCCATCATTCATGATTCCTAGTGTCAAAAAGTAAAGTAAAAGAAGAAACTCCAAACATAAAGACAAAGTCCCTGCTACTTAGGCCAGAGGCCCGAAATTTTGGAAATAAACAAAATCGTAAACACCTCCTGGGGTGCGCAAATCGGTTGACATTCTTGAAAACTACCTCGGAGTATTAGCGATGGATGTTAATAGAGTGGCAGTAAGTTGACTCACTGAAGTATGTTATTATCCCTTTCCTCCACGCTAGAGCTGGCCTTGCATTTCCGTCAAACCCATCGTGCCGGATTCGAGTCATATTCAATCAACAATGCGAGCGCACTCCACTTGCAGAAGACCCAGAAGGAATGAAGCCAAATCGCTTTTGGCGTGAGAACAGATGTTACAATCACAATAACAGTGGAGATTATGAAAGCAAGTCCGCAACTGGAATATCATCATTAGTATAGGAAAAGAAAGATTATAGCTGGTTGGCTTACCGTTCATGGGCATCTCATCAATTTGGGTCGAGTAGTACAACTCGATGTCGCGAAGGATGCGGACATCATCGCTGGTGACAAAGTTGATGGCCACACCCTTGCGGCCGAATCGTCCAGAACGACCAATACGATGAATGTAGTTCTCACGGTTGGTAGGCAAATCGTAGTTGATAACAAGAGAGACTTGTTGGACATCGATACCACGGGCCCAGACATCAGTGGAAATGAGGACACGGGAATTTCCCTGACGGAAGTCTTGCATAATACTATCACGCTCCTTCTGAGGCATCTCGCCGTGCATGCTGGAGACGGTGAAGTTGGCCTCACGCATCTTGTCGGCAAGCCAGTCGACCTTTCGGCGGGTGTTGCAGAAGATAACGGCCTGGGTGATAGTCAAGGTGTCGTACAGATCGCAGAGTGTGTCGAACTTCCATTCCTCCTTCTCAACAGCAATGAAGTATTGCTTGATACCCTCCAGCGTCAACTCGTCACGCTTCACCAGGACACGGACGGGGTCAGTCATGAACTTTGTGGTCATGTCCAAGACGTCATATGGGAGGGTGGCAGAGACCACGACGACCTGCGTCGCGGGGGGCAGGTAGCGGTAAACGTCGTAAATCTGCTCACGGAAACCGCGGTTAAGGAGCTCATCGGCCTCATCGAGAACGAGCATCTTGATATGACGTGTGCGCAGGTTTCGGCGACGGATCATATCGGCCACACGACCAGGAGTTCCAGAGACAACGTGTTGGCCGTAGTCGAGTTTGCGGATATCTTCGCCAACGTTGGTTCCTCCAATGCAGGCGTGGCACTGGACGTTCATGTAATCACCAAGAGCCATAACGACGGATTGAATTTGGGTTGCGAGTTCACGAGTCGGGGAGAGGACCAGGGCTGTTACAAAGCAGATTATGGTCAGGACTAGATCTGATCAGACTAGGCAGGGGAATGCGTACCTTGGGTCTCGCGCACAACAGTATCGATAACTTGCAAGGTACTAATCGCGAATGTGGCAGTTTTACCAGTACCGGACTGGGCCTGGGCAATGGTGTCGCGACCTTTGCAGATTTGAACAATCGCGCGGGATTGCACAGCCGAAGGCGATTCGTATCCATAAGCGTAGATTCCGCGAAGCAGGCTTTCCTTCAAGTGCATGTCCTCGAAGGTCGGCGCGACCGTCACCTCCTTGGAGGTGTTGAACTCCATGCGCTCTAGTTGCTGTTAGCATGCTTCATGTTGACCTAAGGTTGGAGCCACATACCCTCGGCGCGTCTGTCGATTCCGTCCGCCATGGTGTAAATTTGAGTATTTCAACGGCAGATAATAGATGATTATGGGATTCACGAAGAGTGAAGCCTTAGGAAGTAAGTGAGGTCAACCGGCCAACTTTTCGCGGTGGAAAGGTTTGGGTCACATGACCTTCCCGCAAGTTGGAGCTGCCAATTGCAACGTCTTTTGCGATCGCCACGAGACTTTGACAACACTCTTTGCGCGCCAATAAAAAGAAGCTCTTACGTGGCAGTCATATTGAAAATATGTTGCTCGAAGATCAAAGGTTCATCCATGAGGATCTAGAGCGCCTGGAACAGGCTATCGCTGATCGCGTAGCGGAGGAGCCCCGAAATGTGAGTATAGCGCCGAAGAATCTCGGTTACGTTTTCTAATATGGCAATTCGTTAGGCCCGAGGTCGCTTGGCTCGCGACCATGAAGTCGCCCAGTTCCTAGAGAGAATTGAGAGCCAGTCCAAACGCCTCTTGGAGATCTACCAGGATGCCGATGGACTGCGGGAGAAGGAAGTGCAGACTATTTCAACAGGCGATCAATTCGAGGAGTTCTACAAGCAGCTGGGGGAAATCAAAGAACATCACAAGCGTTACCCGAACGAACCAATTGAGAACCTCGAGCAAGCATACAACCGCCGTCAGACCGCTGAAGGAGAGACTCCCCGCACCGCAATCGATAATATGTTCACTGGCGAAGAAGGCTTTGGACAGTACCTGGATCTCACAAGCCTTCACGAAGATTACATGAACCTCCCTGGGGTTAAGCGCCCATCTTACGTCCAATACCTCGACATTTTCGACTCCTTCACGCCACCGACCATGCCAATCAAGCGCAAAGACAAGATCTCCGATCGTTACTTCAGCTATGTTGGCGAGCTTGCTAGCTATCTGGAAAGTTTTATCAAGAGGGTTCAACCACTGCAACCGTTGAACGAGCTTTTTGCTAGCTTTGACGAGGAATTCGAAAAGCAATGGGCTGCGAAGGAGGTTCCGGGCTGGACAGAAGAAAAGTCCGAGAATGGTACATCTGGTCCAGCAACCCAAGGGACCGGCGAAGGCATTTGGTGCGCAGATTGTGAGAAGGAATTCAAGAACGAAAACGTGCACCGGAGTCACTTGACCGGCAAGAAACACATCCGAGCAGCAGAAGCCCGCAAAGCAGCAGGCACATCCGACGAGAAGCCATCTACATCCCAGGGCACATATTCGGCCCACAGCCTCAAGGAGCGCGAGGTTGCACGACGTGAACATCAAATTCGATCCCTGGCGAATGTCCTGCGTGAGGAGCGACAAGCGACAAAAATCAATGTTGAGCGCCGACAGGGTATGACCGAACGTGAACGCCAAATGGAATGGGAAGCCGTGCAGGCTGGACTTGATCACACAGGTCCCGAGCCTCGTGCCGGCGAAGAATCGGAGGAAGAGGACGAGGAGATTGTTTACAACCCATTGAAATTGCCGCTGGCATGGGATGGCAAGCCTATTCCATTCTGGCTTTACAAGCTCCATGGACTCGGTGTCGAATACCAGTGCGAGATTTGCGGAAACTACACCTACATGGGTCGACGAGCATTTGACAAACATTTCTCTGAAAACCTCCACATCCACGGATTGAAGTGTCTTGGAATCACATCCAACACCAATCTCTTCCGTGAAATCACCAGTATCAATGAAGCCATGGCGCTTTGGGAGCAGCTTGAGAAGGATCGGAAGAAGGAGAGGGAATCACGGGATAATGTCGTTCAGATGGAGGATGCAGAGGGTAACGTGATGCCCGAAAGGATCTACTTGGATCTGCAAAAGCAGGGCATTCTCTAAAGGGGGAGGAAATCATATTGTCTCTTTTTTCCCCACCTGGCGTCCTTACTTTTACACAAATGGGTCGGTGTTTGGCGAATACATAGTCTTCAAAGTCCTTTTTCAGGTTTAAACTAGCCTATGGGCTCAAATGTGTTATCTTGACTTCTATCACAAACTTACTGTTACGAATAAAACACTCCATTGTCCGATTTACAACGAGTTCATACTACCTACGATGAGCCTTCAGCCGCTAGTACCATAGTCAACATTGACCGCCTGGGTGCCGTTTTTCATTGGCCACCTCGTATAATCCTTCTGAATTTCATGCGCTATGATCATCAATACCACTAGCCTACAGGATAGTCGTTTTGAAAATTCTGTATGTTCTACGTTTGTTTTTATGAAAACGTTGGATCTTAAACCGTTTTATACTTGCTCTACTATTCTTAATTGGGTATTAAATTAACTATCACGGCAGTTTTATTACCTGTGTATGACTAACAACCTTATATGCGCACTGGAGGTGCCCATGCGGACAAGCCCACTAAACATAATGTCCGCCCCCACCAGGGCTTTTATATGGAGCACGCTATTATTATAGGGGTCCGAGTAGTTTACGGGTTTCAATGCCGTAAATTCAAATGTTTCCACTGTGTATGACAACCCTAATATTGGTATTTGACATTTTATCTTGGATTTAAGCCGCACGCCAGGATATTAAATTAGGAGTTGAGACTGGTTCTTCTCACCCAACTCCTTGCCAACACATTTGGAACCCCACGTAGGGCTATTACTCCAGAATGAGAGCGGGGCAGGGGGAGAAGAACAAGAAGAACAAGAAGAACAAGAAGATGAAAAAGAAGAAAAAGAAAAGGCTGTCGCCCTTCCACTCATTTGACTGTTTCTTTCTTTTTAGGGAAAAGCTCATATACCAAGCCTCCCATCATATGTTGTTCACTTGGAACGGTACTTGTTTGATTGACCACAAATGATAAGGGCCGCTGCAGCCAAAGGCACATTCTCCTGAGAACCCCAATCGCCCCGTTGCTTACTAGCATCCATGGCTTCGTCCATGAATGATAGTTTGATATTGAGGTACGTACACGGTGCACGTAGAGGTTCTATTCGAAGAAGCTGAAGTCCCTCACATCACTCTTGCATCAGGTGGCTGAATGAACCAAACATATTTTAACCCACGCATTCGACCATGCGAACAAAATATTACACTGGCAAGAAATCATCATCGCTCATTTATATATCACTTATGAACACCTTCATCGGATGTAGTCTCAAGTAGTTGACTAGAGGCCGCTGGTTCTCGGTGAGGATGACCCAGAGGAGTTGCAGATGACATTTTAGCGGGATAGTCTTCGTTATAGCCGGTTGTCATTTGCGCATTCGCAATGTGGTCCGGAAGTGGGTCAAGGCCACTGTAATCTTTCTTGCTGAGGTCTATAGAGACCATCGCGCCCTGGGTGACCCTGAATATCGTCGAGAATTTGCTGGTGTACGAGCCATCGGCTGAGAGGTACAAGAGGATGCCTGCAATAACACAAAGCACAGTGACACCAAGTGCAGTGCCGTAGGCGGCCCAAAGAATCGATCGGGTGTAGACATAGATGTTGCGGTACGAGGTGATGGTCACATTCGTGTTTGGCACCGCCTGTACTGTGTAGTTTGGCCTATTATATATGGTTAGTGCGCTGGGTAGGCTGAGCATACAGACTGAAAGTACATACTGGAACATTTTGGAGCTCATGAGCGAAAACGTGATGTTCTGGAAAAGTTCTTCGAGAGTGTTTGATAATCGAGAAGAATGCCTTGGGAGACTGATAGATCTCTCCTCCCAATACTCCGTAAATGGATTAGACTCCGAGCCTGCGATAGATGGAAAGATGCTCATCTCCTCTGTATCCATCAATGTTGTTGATAGGATATTGGTGTCCTGTGTCATTGAATTCACGACGTTCCCTTTGGGACCGTCTCCCTGGTAGTTGTAATGGGTCATATTGGTACGAATCGATCCAAATAAAAGTTTCCCAAATGCGTCCATTATGGACTGATAAGACAGAGACTCCATGACCCGAGGGTTGTGCATAAACGAAGTATTTGAAGACCAAATAGGCCCGTCGTGGTTGGTCACTCCGTGCAGGTAGGAAATTCCGTTGAGAACTGTTTTGTCTGTCACATGGATAGTCTGGTCTCCATTGATGTAGGTAAGATTGGCCTGGTACGACGCATTGTGGAGCGCACAGTGTAAAATAGTTGAATTTTGTACAGCTGCGGCCACGTTTTCCGGGATATCATTATATTTGGGAGTCTCCATAGAATGGGGAAAGATAGCAACAAACAGAGATAGAGGTCTCCAGTTAATCATAGGCTGTTTTGGAGTGGAGTATATCCTACTGCCATTCTCTGGATCACTGGGAATAGGACCGAGACTGCTCAACCGTTGGGTGAAGGTACCACTCCCATTTTGAACGAAAGGAGTAGAATCAATCAGATTATCTGCCTCAGGTGCCCAAGAAAGATATCCGTACCTGGTCAAGGAGTAGTAGGCGAAGGTTACATTTTCTGGCGAATGCTCCTGAGATCCGTTGATGGCTTGGGCAACATTTTGAGTGATATAAGCGGTGACGGACTGGTTCACTTTGTCACAAACCATGGCAGGACCATGAAACTCCACTGACCAGGACGAGTTGACAGCTGGGGGCTCTATTGGCAAGATTGTACCTTGTGTCGCGACACTATTAACAACCCTTTGAGTTTCTGGCGCAGGATCCCTATACGCGCTAATCCACAGCTTCTGCGTACTTTGGTTTGTAGTTGAGATGGCGCCAGAAACAAACGTAGCAAACCTCGCGCTCGTAAAATCGACACGAGGGATTCTTTTTAATGCATACTCATCGAAAGAAGCCAAATTCACGCTTAGCGTAGCAGGCGATATCATCGACACCACAGGAAGAAGCCAACAAATTAAAGCAAGAGTCATGCTGATCGGGGAGCGTTTCCATAATTGTAGATTGAGAACTGTAAAGCCATTCTTAAGAACCAAGAGTAGATCGTCGATGACACCGATTCGAGTTCTTTGGGTTTGAATGGACTTCCAAACAAATTGATCGAAGACCGTTGAGACCGCCACTCCTAGGGAAATTTTCACTAAGAAGGCAAATAATGTACCGAGAGACAGATACACTTGCTGGTCGGATACATTTAAAGAGGAACTCAACGCGATCGGCTGGGCGTTTAGGACGGGTTTTCCATGCAAACTCTGATAAAAGGCGTCATGACCAATAGCAAAGGCGACAGCGACCAGAAGTGCTGACACCATTATAATCACAGCGGAGCATTTCAGGTTCAACGGAAACATCGCCATATTTAGGGGCGAGTTTGGACCGGTCGAATGGCGAAAAGGGGGAAACAGAGAAAAAAAGGATCGATTCTCCAAAGGGTACTCCGTACGGAGTAGACTGAGTTTAGTTGTGGCTGGTGTGCCCTGGCTAACATGACTTAACTATTAATAAATACATAAATTTGAATATGCGCAACTGATAATTATCATAGGCTTAGCATTGGGCCACACTAATAACAACCACAGCCCCGTGGAATAAGCAGAGCCAAGAATCCTGGAGCTCTTTAGGGCTAGAGGGTCCAATATGCACTTTCCTCTCCCCACCAATCAAAGTTCAGTCTTCTCGTATTCCCGTCTTTTTGGCGGTGATCGTGACCTATCCTGCCATGGCTGGTGCAGATGCCAAGAGACTAACTGCTCCAGATGGGGGCCATCTAGGTAGTGGCCCAATGGAATTCCATTCTAGCGCAGCTGAAGGTTAGTGCGGCTTTTGAGTCGGATTCTCACTTCTCTGGCCTTTGCTCTTTAATCCCATATTCTTCCAGATCACTTAATCGACACCCTGGACGTCAGTTGACAAGAGTGGGAACCTTTCCAACGATCATAAGGATTTGCTCATATCATTCTTCTCAGTAAAAGGTGATATTTTATTCACGAGAAAGTCAATGAGTACCATAGCCGAAAGTCAATGATCACACTATTCAGTGCACCGGTGGGAGAGGCAATACAGGCATAACTAAGGAGTACATGATAGGAAATCATCGCGCCCTAGAACCAACAGCGATACACAATTCCAAACCCTTGAATCAGCCTAACCTTATGCACTATTCAGCTAGCCTGCCGGAGGGAACCCCCTCGCAGACACCAAGATGTATATCATCGACTTCGTCGGCTTTTTAGTTTTGCAGTATACCACGGAGCTACTCCTAGACACTATGCTGGTCTTCCCAGGGTTCACCACAAATCCCGCCTACTCGCCCGGTATCCAGTCTGATCTCGTTCTCTGTCGTAGTAACAGTCTCACCGAATCCAACACGAGTACAGCTACGGTCATGAGCGATGCCATTCAGCCCAGTCTCAAGCCAACCCGTGTAGATAGCACAGCATATCTCGCAACACGTTCGTCCATGTACGCTAGGGGTAGGTCACCTTCCCCATAGCACTTGTTCTCTTATCGGTTAGTCTTCTCTATGTCACGACGTTATCAAGTGCGAAACTACCAGCAGTCCCATGTAATAATCCGTGCTGCTGCTGCTTTGGGACAACTTGAGATAGAACCATGCCAAGGCGAAGATCATAAAACCGGCGCTCAAAATACAATGAGAAAAAGCTCGAAGAAAATTAGGGTTATGATGGATGCACGAAATCCGTGACTTATGCACAAGGGTGCCAAAGCCCCTGTATTTTCAATACAGGGGCTCGTTATCAACTGAGTTTATTGCAATTCAAAAATACGGCTTCACGGGTCAGCGCTAGGCTAAGTCGGGGAAGGTATACACATCTATGTAGCATCCGAGATATGGAACCCCCCCAAACCTATGTCTCACTTATCTCCCAGTTATATATCCCATATTTGCCATATTGTATTTTCAAATTTCGTTGCTACTTCGTTGCTCGTTCTGAAAAATGTCACTACCGGTCATCTCAGTTGCAGGAAGCGGATCATTGAGCGGTGGCGATCGATTTCAGATCAAAGGCAACAAATATCCTATAAACAACTGTGCGGTTGATACAAAGCTAACATGTCTGAAACAGGTGTCGCTTATGCCGAAAGGACCACTGCAGGTCTTGACTTTGCGAATGTCAAAGCAGTGGGTGTCAGTGATACTGCGCATGGCACTAGGCCGCTGAAGAGTCGAAGCACCCCTAGCAGTAACCACAAAAGCAAGCATGACGTTGGTGTTATGGCTGGGATTGGTGTTGGTGCTGGGGTAGGCGTGGTGCTCATTTTCGCTGCCTTGGTGACCTTCTTTGTACGGCGTCATCGGAAAAGGGATCGGGCAAGAAAGACATCATCCTCGGTGGCAGAGGCGTCAGACACACTCGGTGCAGGAGATCATGGTCACAGTCCTCCCCTGACTGAAATATCTCCCACTGCCCTGCCGGCTGACCTAGCCCATGCTGATCCACCGAGGGGCCTACCAGGTTCGGATCCCAGGGCCCAAGAGCTTGACTATGCTGTAGCTCACAAGGCTGGCAAGGAAGAGGTATAATGAGTCTGATGGAAGATGGAGGGACAAGCTCTGGCACAATTTAGTGTCAAATTGGTGAGAAACTCTGGGTTGACCTCCGGTGTCTTTCTGGTTTCCTATACTGTTATGTAGCCTCTAACTCTATTGGCTCGCCAGTAAGTGTGAGGTGAATATACCTACCACTTTCGGGATTCTGAACCAGCAAGCCCTAGGCTGATGACTTTATACCCAAACCACAAATTGAACTAAGTGAATTAGGATAATAATGGGCTACTCATGGGGTTTCATGGGCTTAACATGATTATTCGCAAACGGCATACGCTAAAAGCCCTCCATCCATGTTGGTACATATGCGAGGTCGACAAGGAAAACCTCAAAGTATATGCTAGTACTATGTGTGTCCCGTCGTAGACCTATCGCAGGTCTGTATCCGAACCAAAATTAACAAACGCAAGAATGCGCAGACGTGCACACAAGTAGGCCATATGTGGCGTAGCGATATGGATCTATACCCAGGCGACGGGAGTGTATACCCCGGCAACATAACGCGCGGAGAAAGCAAGCGAGAAAATACTTATTACTTTGGCCCACTCTACCTATCATTCTTCCTCTTCCCATCTACATATATTTGCTGCATTGTGTGACAACTCTCTTCTGTGCTACTTTCTACCCCCGAACTAGCCTACAACTATATCTTCGCGGGGAAGCGGATGACGACGAGGACGAGGACGGTGGAGAGGAAGAGAAGGAGGAGGAGGTTGTTCTGGAACATACAGAATGTGAATTAGTTCATCAGTACCGGAGATATCCTTGCCACAATCCAACAGAATGAGATGGAAAGTCCAGAATCTGACCAAGGTCCTCGAATCACAAACAGCCAAAATCTAAAATCCTACAATTAGCTTGGCGTGGCACAAGTATGATAAAATGAATTGTCTAGTTACTCTGCGTTACACTATTCTCTTGGCACTATCAAAAGATATCTACAATGAAACCCCTTTTTAACGCGGCTTCTCTGGCTGGTCTCATCACCATATCAACCCAGATTGCAGGTATCATCCACACCATATACACTCTAAGAACAACCAAAAGCTGGATTTGCTCTCCAGGGGGTCCGCGCTGTGAAGGTAATATTATTCGAAAAGAGAATCACTGGAGATATTGGCCTTATGTCACAGTACTATCACTATATCCTTACTGCTGGAAGGAATAGTGGAAAATAGCAAAAGAGATACTGAAGATGCAGAGAAGAACTCGAAAACGCTTGGTTGGGAATTAGTCTTGTTGATAGATCTCAATATATTTATATTTATCTCTCTACCACTTAACTCCCACTAGAGTCTCTAAAGAAGGCTTGAATGGCTAAGCGAAAGCCAGGGGAGTTGGTGGTTTATGCCGGTAATTCAAAATCGGGCTCGGTATTCGAGATCACTACTGTGAAGGAACCAAGCTTCTAAAACCAGTCATATCTATATAAAAACGAAGATCTGATACCATGCCAATTGAGTTGTTCAGCGTGGGTGGTCGCTTTTTTCCAGACGCGGGGGCTGGTCCATTCAGCTTGACGGAGCAGCTACAGGCCTGGTACAACCGGCGACATAAAATCACACAGCACTTTCATCAAGCATCACCTGATGCCCTACCATTTGTTTTCAACAAATATACCATCACAAACTAAGATATCAGACCTCGTAACTTGATCCTAGATTCTGATAGCAAAGTCTGGCTCATTGACTGGGGAGATGCTGGGATATATCCAGAAGGGTTTGACTTTGCGGCACTGAATGCACGTGAATGGCAGTCACCAGAGTTCACCGAAATGCTGTTTCAAATGATTCCGAGATACAAAGGCTTGTCGCATAAAATGCTGGTGATCGCATATGGCTTGACCACTGCACAATGGATCGTTTCAAATGGTTGAAGGAATAGGTTCTATATGGTTAATATCAAACATACAAGCCTTGTAATTCTTAAACGTGTATCCACTGCAAGATTTAATTTAGTGTAAAAACCCCCAAAACGACAATGATTTGCCTGTCTTTCCATTGTCACCTGAATTTATATTCGAATTTATATTCTGTATAGTTCTCCATCCAAATCGGGATAAATAGGTCACGTGCTCACGTGTAATCGCTCATTCCTCTTTTCGCGTTCGGACGGGAAAGTCTCGACCTCGGGACTCTCGAGTTTTGACCGACGTGACTATTCCTCAGATTATTCTCCGATTTTGAGCCGGGTTACTATGTGGCTCGGTTGAAGATGGGCCATGGGCTTCAAGTTCACCCTTTTGTGTGATCTGCTGTCCAAGTTGGATGATTGCAAGACGGCCAAGGCATCTACGGCAGCCAGGAACCAGAATCCGGACATTAGAACAGTTGCCCAGTGGTTTTCTCGACATGAACGGACTATTCATCATGCCGAAACAGACAAGGTCGCGTTACTTTCGTGTATGTTCCCCGAAAAACGAACGGACCGAGTATACTGGCTGCAAGCTATGCAGTTATCAAGAGTCATTGGGCGGTGCTTGGGTTTGGGATCGTCGCGACTTTCCGAACTCAATCGATGGCAAACTCCCTGTGGTTTTGATCTTGGAGGGTGTGTCGAAATCGTCATGAGGCAAGCCGAGAATTACATTCCAGCAGGCCAGGAGTTGTCAGTAGAAGAAATCGATCGCGCCATGGCTATGATTGCATCACGGTGCCGCTTCTCTGGCCCTCTGGCCCGCCAGAATCGTACAGCTGTGGACATTGAAGAGACTCTATCGAAATTGTACCGTCGATTAAGTAGCCGCGACGCCAAATGGCTCACTCGCATGATCCTCAAAAGCTACTCTCCCATCGTTTTTCCAGAACAGTATACACTGAAGAAATTTCACTTTCTTCTGCCGCAACTTCTCCAGCTTCAGAACTCTTTTGAAGGAGCGTTAGAGATGCTCGCTTCCGACCCAATAAACCACTTCCCTCCAAACCCGGATCCCCAATCAGCCAGAAGTCTTAGCATGATTGCCCTGCAACATATGCGCCCTCGTCCTGGTATTAAGGTGGGACGACCTGATTATTACAAAGCCCGGAGTATCAAACATTGTCACCAAATGGCGAACGGTCGACGAATGAGCATAGAACGGAAATACGATGGTGAATATTGTCAGATCCACGTCGATCTCTCTAACAAGTATAGCCCCATTCAGATCTTCTCCAAAAGTGGCAAGGACTCGACTGCAGATAAAAATCAGATCATACCTGTGATAAAAGAATCGCTCCGCACTGGATTACCTGGCTGCAAGTTTGCGCACCGCTGTATCGTTGAGGGAGAGCTGCTTGTATGGAATGACCAGGATGGTGACCTGATGGACTTTAACAAAATTCGAAGGTTTATTCCACGATCTGGCGCCATGATTGGTGTTGATAATGATTCTCCGTAAATGATGATTCCTTTCAAAAGATAGGTTTTTTGCTGATTGATACAGGCCACAACCGTATGAGCACTTGATGATCATGTTCTATGACATTCTTCTTCTCGACACCGACGTATGCCTTGCCAAGCCTCACCGAGAAAGACGACTACTCTTACAGAAAGTGGCGAAGACCATCCCAGGTCGCGCAGAGCTCGCCTATCAAGAAGTTCTGGACTTCAACCGACCTGATAGCTATCATCGGCTCGAAAAGAGTTTCGAGAAAGCAATTACTAAACGATGGGAGGGATATGTTTTGAAGGCTTCCGACGAGCCTTATTTCCCGATATACTCCACTGCTGTGGATCATATGTTTGGCCGGTGGATCAAACTCAAGAAAGATTATATACCTGGTCTTGGAGACACATTAGACCTTGCGCTGATCGGAGCTAGCTACAACGTGCGGGACGCTCCTGATCTGGGACGTATAAAAGGGTTGAAATGGACTCAATTTTTTGTAGGCTGCCTTCTGAATCCAGAGCATGTCAAAGAGGGCAACGCGTTGCCGCGTTTCCGAATTGTTGATGTGGTTGGCCGACACTGCATGAGCATTCAGACTATGCAAACCCTCAACCAAGATGGAGAGTTTTATGCACGTCAACCTGAAACGTTTGAAGGTTTTCACATTGATTACGGGCACAACGCCCTTCCCACTGCGACCACCTTGTTCAAGCACCCATTCATCGTTGAGATGTTGGGTAGTGGATTTGAAAAGCCGTCTGGTGCGAGATACTTTACACTTCGATTCCCTCGGATTTTGAAGATACACTCAGACCGAACCCTAGAAGAGTGTACCTCTTTCAATGAACTGCTGGTTGCAGCAGAGAAAGCCCGGGCTGTGCCTGCGGATGAACTGGAAGAACGCGAAAAATGGTCAAAATGCCTCAAGGTTGGGAGTGGACTTGACAAATATATTGTGCGATCACCAAGCCCAGAAGCAACTTGTTCAGACACCGACGAGGAGACAAATTCTACGTCATTCCAGATCCCCCAAGCCACCACTGCTTCTGGAGAGAGTTTCATGGATGTATGTCCATTGATAGAAGGGTTGCATGAAGATTCAATAGGGAAAGATAGTCACGATCGATCATGCATTGGCCGTCCACTGTCCCCTTTAGTCTACACCAATGAGACAATACTTCCCACGGAAGATAAGAATCCTGTCCTTGGGGTCAGTGTATTCGTGGACAATGACAATCTACCGTCTCGTCAGCACTCCAGCCAAAATGATGGAATGATCGCATCCCAGGAATCTTTGGGCTTTTCCTGTCCCATGCGGACAACCAGCTTCATCTCCATGCATGAAGAGCATCGGCAGGAATTACAAGAGACACAGGAACGGCTTTTGGAAAGGCTATTGGTTCCTGCATCATCCAAACAGAAACGCAAGATATTGCCCCAATCTCCTTTGACAACAATCCCCATATGGACGCCTAAAACCTCCCTGGGGAGTTTTACACTTCCCCGAATTGATGATAAGTCTAGCAACGAGCGCGAATCTTGTGATTTGGTTGAATTCGTTCGATGTCTCTGCTCTGGTGAATCTGCTTGTTCTCTCCAACAATCAAACCCACATGCCGCATCACAGGGGACAGTATTTGGCATTGTACTGTTTGATCCGAAAGCAACTCGGCTAGGCAAAGAAATGCACCGTCTCGCCACAACCCTTTCTAGCTTCGTCCATGCTGGAAAAAGTCAACTCTTTTCCATGGGAAGCATATTCTTTTTGGGCTCGAGCATGTTGGAACGTGATCTACGTCCCGGTGACCTTCGTTTCTGCCTGCGTGATACGTGGATAGGCATTGGACGTGATCATTTTTATGGATGTCTTTCGTGGAATCTCAGCAAGCGATGTGGTGATATATCTATCAGACAAGAGGGGCTCCAGTCTGAATCGACTCGCTGTGGTCATGGCATGACATCAGAGCCTGCGCGCTCTGTACTAAGGACCCCATGGATTGAGATGACCTTTGATGAAACAGCCATTGCTGTATTGGGCGAGTATATCTCGATCGAACCTCTAGCTCATGTTTTGTATAACTGATACCCCCTTGCTTTTTTATAAATGACAATTATACTGCACGTGGACATTCTTCATACAGAAATAGCCACCTTCTAATGCTAGTCTCGCTTCCGCGAGGTGAAACTGAGCGCTCCAGTCGTACCTATTATTCATGGAGACCAGTAAAACCCATGGATGGTTTGCTGTCATGATAGTCCATACATATCTCATTTAATCGCTGTAATTAAGTTGCACCCTCCCTTCTCGCCCGTACGTCCCTCATCAACGCCTTGGCCTCCTCCACTTCAATTCCATCCTGGCACAACTCGCTCGCTAGCTGGTCCGCACGGTCCAGATCACCGTTCCGTGATGCATATTGTGCCAACCACAACCGTGCCTTGGATGTAGTTGCTGTCACACCAGTGCCGTTCCACGTCTCACTAACAATGGAGTCATCGTTCTGCATAGCGAATGATTCAGCCTTTGCGCGAGGTGTGCGATTACGACGATGTCGTTGCGACAAATCAGTGTCTTCGTCCCCTGAATGCTCAATCTCGGCATCGCTTTGAAGGCCATTGTCCGAGGCAGAGGAGTTGTCGTCATCTGGGTTTTCATTGGCAGGGGCACCGGATTCTTGTTGGAGAGTGAGCTCCATGTATGCAGCGGCCTCCTCTTCATCGCCGAGACGCTCGTACAGTGTCGCAATTTGATGCAGGGTTTCCGGGTCAAGGATCTTGCGACTCCCAGAGCCGGGGCTTGCGCCGGTGGCCGATTGCCCGCCATCATCTGGCTGTAAGGATCCAGCCACCAATGCGCGCTTCAGAGCTTGAATACTCTGTTCCACTCGGCCCATCTTTGCGTAGCATGATCCAACTGCCTGCCACATCTTTGGGTCGTACGGACGTAATGCTGCAGCGCGCTGGTAGTAGAACAGGGCGTAGAAAGACATATCCAAGACTTCGTAGGCCTGTCCGAGACCGTACCAGGCGCGGTAGTCCTTGCGATTGACATCGACTGCTCGGCGGTATGATTCGATGGCCGTGTGGGTATTCTTCATCTCAATGTATTCATGGCCCATCAGGGTCCATGCAGATAAGAAGTTGCGGTCGAGGGTGAGTGCACGTCGGAAATACATTACCGCCTTCTCATGCTCAGATTTCAATGAGTAGTAATTCCCCACGACACAGCAGGTTTCTGGGCGGAATTTATCGGTGGCGGTTGCGACCTGAGCGATGAACGCAAGTTGAGGTCGTTGGTCCATCACATAAAGGATGTTCGAATAGTGGTCTAGACTGTCTAAGCGGTGGGGTGATGTGGCTAGAATGCCTTCGAAAATATGGGATGCTTCTTCGAAGTCTGAATGATATTAGTTCACGCACCAACTACGCATTCCGCTGGAGCCGGGGAGGTTTTACCTTTCGAGTGATATAATAACAACGCGTGTTGTGTTTTGAGGAATGCACTTTCTGGGAACATCGACTGTAGCTCGGAGAGTGATCTGTATGTGTCCTCTGTGGCCTGGTACAGTTCCTGGCTGCAATAAACGTAGAATATTAAGCTCATGACGTTTTGCGGCAGGAGTTCGAGTATTTGTTTCAACTGGTAAAATTAGTACCGACGGAATGAAATGTTGATGGGAATAACTTACGTCTTCTGTGCTTCCCAAGAGGTCGTTCAGCTCCTGCCAGGCACCCCAATGGTATGGGTTTTGATGCACACAGCGGATCAGCCATTTCTTCGCCAACTCCTCATTCCGTCCTTTTAACAAGACCACGGCGTAGAGATACTCCAACCATCCCTGCCCTCGATCATCCAACCCCTGTGCGGTTCGTTCTGATAGCCATCCATCTAAACCTCTAGCGAGGCCGGGCAACTCTCGATTGACTGCCATCCCACCATCTGCTGGACCCAACACCATTTCCGTTTCCTCTTCCTTGCGCTTCTCTCCGGCTAGATATTTTGCGTACAGGGCGAGGAAGAGCGATTTCTGGCTGAGCTTTGGATATGGATTTTGCTGTATTTGGGTCTTGGGGGTCTTTGAGCTTTGAAACGGCGAAGCTTTCTCCTTGCCTTTTTGTGAAGTCCGTGATGGTCTCGGCTTGGAGTTTGGCGAGGTAATCGATAAAGGAACGGGTGGTGTTGTTGGAGGCAGGAATACGGCGGCACATCGGTCATATTCGCGGGTATCGAAGTATGATTTGGCGAGCAGGTATTTGTAGGACTCTTGTGTTTCAAGGGCAGCTTCTACTGGGTCACGCACTTGGAGATAAGGATTTGTTGCTGGCGGTGGAGGATCGGAAATCTCCATCGGAGACTCTAGATCAGTATCTTCGTGATCTAAAGGCCGCAGAGAATCAAGCATTTCAGCGGCCCTGAGTTCATCAACATCATTAGCACGTCAGGCCTGTTTGAATCAAGCTTATTGGTCGTACCATTTTGATGATTGGTAAAGGCATCGCTCAGAGCATTTGATTGCAGCATTTTCCAGCTGGTACATGAGCTCCCGGATTCCATCATCTGTAGGTTCTTCCATGACAGGCGTCTTTGTCGCAACTAAGCGGAACTGTTCTAGGGTAGAACGTTCAAACACAACTTTGTGGCGCCGGTAAAGCTCTAGGTGTATCAAGACGTTTTGTGACAATTCGATCTCATGCTTATTTGGGTTGAAAGAAGTTCACCACACAGCTGTTCAACCTCGAGTTGCAAAGGTTCGGTGGTGTAAATAAATGGTCTTGGCCCTCGTCGCGTTGATGATCTGGATGAGACAGCAACCCGCGTAACTGTAAAGAACGCGAATAACGGCAGCGAAGGTTCCCAGCAAGGTATTAACACTCACAGAACCTAAAACAAAGTGAAGATCGTTCAATGGCCTTGAAGAATCCACGTCGTCCTCGGGTTGCGCCTGGAGAAACAGCAACACAAGACCAAACAAGACAAACAGGTCAAACATGACAAACGGTCCCTCCGCGGGGAAGTGGCTCATTTCTAAATAGTTGCGCGTTTTCGATCTTCAGATCATTGAAGTCTTTACCATAAACTTTGTCATCATGGCTTCTACTACCAAGCGCGCCGATTTCGAGGCCATTTTCCCTGCATTGGCCCAAGATCTCCTCGCCCATGCCAAGCGCTACAACCTCCCTGACAATGCGCTTGCGTGGTTCGAGAAGGTAAGAAACCCCCTGTTGATTGATTGCTCCAAAGGAAAAATCATGAATCATAACTGACGCCATTAATTATGCTCTATAGTCCCTCAATGTCAATGTTCCCGGCGGTAAGCTCAACCGTGGCCTCTCGGTCCCTGACACCGGCCTTGCTCTCCTGAAGCAGCCCCTGACCGAGGAGCAATTCGAGCACCTCAGCATCCTTGGTTGGATGACTGAGTTGCTCCAGGCCTTCTTCCTGGTCAGCGATGACATGATGGATTCCTCAATCACCCGTCGTGGCCAGCCCTGCTGGTACCGCCACGAGGGTGTCGGCCACATCGCGATCAACGACGCCTTCATGCTGGAGGCCGGTATCTACCTCATCCTGAAGCAGCGCTTCCGCTCACACCCCGCCTACATTGATATTGTCGAGCTCTTCCACGAGACCACCTGGCAGACTGAGCTGGGTCAGCTTTGTGACCTCATCACTGCCCCCGAGGACAACGTCAACCTCGACAACTTCTCCATGGAGAAGTACATGTTCATTGTCACCTACAAGACAGCCTACTACAGCTTCTACCTACCTGTCGCTTTGGCTCTTATGTACCTGCAGCTGGCTACCGAGGAAAACCTCAAGCAGGCCCACGACATCCTCATTCCTCTGGGTCAGTACTTCCAGATCCAGGATGATTACCTCGACAACTTCGGTGACCCATCTGTCATTGGCAAGATTGGTACCGATATTCAGGACAACAAGTGCTCTTGGCTCGTTAACCAGGCCATCCAGCGCTGCACTCCCGAGCAGCGTCAGCTCCTGGATGCTTCCTACGGCCGCAAGGACGCTGCTGAGGAGGCCAAGGTCAAGGCCCTTTTCAACGAGCTTCAGCTGGAGAAGGTGTACAAGGAGTACGAGGACAAGGTTGTTGGCGAGCTGCGCGATAAGATTGCGGCCGTCGATGAGTCTAAGGGTCTGAAGAAGGAAGTGTTCGAGGCTTTCCTTGGCAAGATCTACAAGCGCACTAAATAGAGGATCATACTCTCTTGTGTGTTTAGAAGGATACCCGTCGTTCGACTGGATCGTGACGATTTAAAACTCCATAACGCCTACGCACAAAGCTGAACATGTCCGGCGATAAATGGCCATTTCTTCCTCGGATATATTTTAGTTTTTTATATTTCTAGGCTTACTTTCTCAGCCTTAATAATAACTTAGAATGAGATAGATCTTTATTTCAAGAACTTTTGTTCGGGTCCCAAAAAAAGCTAACAACTCCAGGAACCAATATATCTATTTACAAATGAGGAGCATTCAACGCCATCAAACAAATCAGTCCCGAAACCAATCCCGCACAAGGCAAAGTCAAGACCCAGCCACCGAAGATAAAGCCGAGCTGCTTCCAATTGACGGCGCCAAGATCATAGTTCATGAGAGCGACGCCCATAGAGGCACCAGTCAAGCATTGCGTTGTGGAAACGGGCAAGCCAAGTCTTGAAGCCAACATCACGGTGATAGCTGCTCCAAGCTCAACACTGAAGCCACGCGTCGGGGACATCTGCGTGATCTTGTTTCCGAGAGCACGAACGATATGGTATCCGTAGAACCAGAATCCAAGACCGAGCAGCAAACCAGCAATAACCAAGAACCAGACCGGAGTGGGTGCGTCGGTCTCGACCCTGCCAGCATGGAACGTGCTGTACACAGCAGCCCAGGGTCCAACAGCATTAGCTACATCATTCGAGCCGTGCGCGATGGACATCATCATCGCCGACACAACTTGGCAGTATGTCCAAAGATGTTCGACGCGGTCGTCATAGCGGTGGGCACGCGCGTGGATTGCCCGCAGCTCAGGCGAGTCGTGGGTGACAACATCACGTGTGACACCCTGAAGGAAAAGCCATTTGAGATATCCGTAGGCCTTCTGGGGGTTCGCCCAAGATAGCTCTCGGACAGGGTCGATGAAACGTTCAGTTGGCTCGATATGCCTCTTCCGTGGCGGGGCTGCCGGTGCGGTTTTCTCCTCGTCATTTCCTATTTGTGGCGGGTTGGGCTTTGCTTTGATCTCCGGCGTGGCTGTGACAGACTCTGCATTCGATATGACATTTTCTTTGTCTTTGTCGTTTTGGCCAGCTCGCACTTCGCCGTAAGAATCTTCATAGTAGCTGACCACAGCCTGGTTGGCCTTTCCTGGGAAGTATAGCGGTGGGTTTTCCCTCATGAGCAAGGGGCCGAGGGGGATGTGATAAAATCTGAGGCGGGTATCGTTCATGATGAGACGGCGTTTGAAATATGGGATGAAGAAAATGTAGGCAATGATGAGACAGCCGACGAACACACCCACAATGATGCCGGCTGCCTTGCCGGCGCCAAACGCTTCCAACGAGGGTGCGGTGGGAGCTTCGATGACGATGAAGAGGGCGAGGATGGCTCCCGTTATGGCAAGGTAGTATGGAATCATGAACATACCCCACTTGAGGGAATCTCCACGTTCAAGGACACTGTACTTGACAGTACCGAAGATTATAGCTGAGAATCCACCTGCCACGAAAGGGGCAATACCCCAAGATGCAGCGACCTGGGAGACACTGCCATCTGACCAGCCCCAGTTGATAGAAGACTGGGACGCAAAACCAACACCAATGAGGGCACCGACGATAGTCTGCGTCGTCGAGACGGGCCAGCCCATTCGAGTGGCAAACATCAACCACGAGGCGCTGCCAATCTCGGCACAACCCATGGCCAGCATGAGTGCACCGGGCTTACCCTCGAAGCGGTCGATGCCGATGATGCCATTCTTGATTGTATCGGTGACTCGTGCGCCCATGGCTACTGCGCCAATGAACTCTGTGAATACAGCCAGGACACCGGCCGTGGCCATGTTGAGCGTCCGGGCCGCGACGGAGGTGGCATACGCGTTGGCGACATCGTTGGCGCCGTTGCCGAACGCACTGACGACGAAAGCGATTGAGGTAATGGCTAGAATCCAGTCATACTTCGCGGTTGCTGCCGGAATCATGGTGGCGAAGGGCTTTTTTCAACCACGCAACAAGCGTAATATGGGCTCGAGAAAAAAGAATTGATTCTGAGAGTCTATCAATGCCCAGGATTTATGGTGCACTTATACGAAGTGCGAACTTCTCGCCACGACCATTGCCAAGTGCGGCCTATGATAAAACCTTGTGCTGAACTTGGCTTGATCCATATTGAGTTCGATTCCGATTTCAATCCTAGCCCATAATACAGAAATCATGGCCAGCGTGCACCTGCAATCCAGCGATCATTGGTTGAGCCGAAGGCGACTTTGTCTGTTGATCGAATAGAGGCGGTGGTTGGCGCCAAGTCTTGGGAGCGGACGCCAAGGGCGGATATACCACGTCTTCCGGTGATGATACACTCTCTATGGATCACCCAGACCAGTCATATTGGGTATGCTGGCACGTTCCTGGGTGCTGAGCTACGATTGAACGTTTAATAGAGCTTGACGTGGGTTCAGTGTGCGCGCCCAGAAATCTGGAAGTCTGGTTTTCTCGGCGGACGCACAGCCTACTCTTGGCATCATGTCACTACTGGTTGCAAATGTCTGGGCAAGTGTGAGGTCGTGTGCTCACCCAGAAGACTTTTCACTGCAAGATATTGGCGCTGTGAATTGGGATCTAGAATAGCCCAAAAGGAAGCAGCAAAACCCCATGTTAGAGTACCACATAAGAGACGTTGGGTGTCCAGATACCTGGATAGGCCTCTCTATATTGTACCTTTGACTTTGGTTAAAAGTCACTCTCGCCTTGGCTCTGTGGGCCATCACCTACCTCGGGAAGAGGGGCACGTGAGCAAGCCGGCTTTTGATGGTAGCCTCGCTTCTTGTGAGGAAGTGAGCGGGTATATCGAGCTTGGCGATTTGGGACTCGGGGGGTTCAGGGGGGTCAGGGGATATCGCATTTCTTCCCAAAAGATTACTTCCCGATGAAAGAAGAAAATAATACAAGCTCGAGGTGTAGACTGAATCATCAATTGTATGATTTGACATTCAAAAATTGTCCGACACCTTCTATGACGCAATGCAATAAAAGCAGGAAAAATGGATGTCGCTATAAAACAATCAAACAGACCACTTTTTCACCATGAATGAGGCTACACGGCAGTCGAGACCTCAATGCTGCTTATAAGGGTTTGAGCAAATCCTTCAAATCGAGGATAAGACCAGGTATCCCGGTATCGTTCAACTAGTGGCCGATCATCAGGTTCAGCGGGGGTATCTTGGGGTTGACTGTTTGGACTGTCCTCCTCATCGTCTTCCTCATCACTATCACCAGCCTCCATCTTTCCTTCAACCAATTCTCCAAACTTCACATCAATAGGCACACTGCCCATAAATGGAAGGCTTAGTTCCTGGGCCATCACCTGTCCTCCACCACTGGAGAACAAATTGCTAACCTCGCCGCAGCACGGGCAAGCATACCCGGACATATTCTCGATAACACCAAGCACCGGAATATTAGTCTTAACACAGAAATTCGCCTCTTTTCGCACGTCCGATGTCGCCACAGCCTGCGGCGTTGTAACAAGGACCGCACCGGCAAGTCGAGGCAAGCCTACTTGCGCAGCCGCTGCTGCATCGGTGGTAGAGAGCGTGAGCAGCTGCTCAGCCAGCGCAATGTGTTCGTCACTTGTTCCGGGAGGTGTATCGATGAGCAGGTAATCAGTCGGGCCCCAGAAAACATCTGATAGAAATTGCCGGATCATAGCCGTTTTCTTCGGTCCGCGCCAGATGACTGCGTCGCCGCGATCGCGGAGGAGGAAACCCAGGGACATGCAGCGGAGGGAACCGCGTTGGGGTTGTGTTGAGGGCGCTGAGGCGTCGACTTCAGCTGCAGATTCAGCACCGTGAACTGGTACTGGCATCCATCCGCCTGGCGCTTGTGTGATCTTTGCATCTTCGAGTCCGACTAGGCGTGGCATTGATGGTCCTGTCAGGTCGATATCGAGGATTCCGACCGATTTTCCTTGAAGCGAGAGCGCAAGGGCGAGTTGGAGTGTGACAGAGGATTTGCCCACACCTCCTTTGCCGGATAGAACCTAATATTCACGATTACCCTGTTAGTCTTGTCCAATAAATTGCGCTTAAATGTTCTAGCTCATGGCTTCTAGCAGTGTGCTCGTTATCGATAAGCTATGAGGGGCATAGCTTTCTTTTTGCTTTCGTTTTTTTTTTCGCGCCGAGGACTTGTAAGGGATTGAGGGCGAACGTACCAGCACAACATTCTTCACTCCAGTGAGAGGCATATTTGTATAGTGTATACTTAATTTGGAAGAAAGAAAGGTTCCAACTGAAATCGCAATGACGGATTTCAAAGAGTGGGGAGGCCGATATTCGGGCGCTTATCAATCGCCTTCTGACTAACCTTCGGTCTACAACAACACGGGTATGACAACTGTGGAATAGAAAAGGTCTGATTGGCCACTTATTTTGAATTTGGAGCTTGTGAGACAAAATGCCATTGCTCTACGTAGCAAATATGAAGGTTTCTCCTTCGTTATCAGATATGTCATGTAACGTTCACCCATACAAACCCACTGCCCTGCTGGTATTCGCTTTTGGAACCACTCTGAGGAAACTCTCAAGACAAGAAGAATATTAGTAGTGTATTTTACTGCCACTTCTGGACAACAACACCTCCACGTTTGAAATCCGGCATATCGCCAAGAACAACGTTCCAGTCCTTGAGCTCCGTGCTGGGGAAAGTCGTCATCAAGACCCATGCGCGGTTTGCACCGTCCGGGGTAGCAGCAGCAACGAACGCATAGACATCGCCAATGGTGGCGGTGGTGTTAAACCGAGACGTTAACCGCGTACCATCTCCGAGGCGGATTTGTAGGGTAACCGTAGGTTGCGACTCGTCCACGTTGGGCTTCGCTGGCTCTTGGGCAGATGGTGCAGGAGTGGAGGACGAAGGTGTGGGGGGCTGGCTCCGTACGCTGGGTGTCGGGCTACCGAGGCGTTGTCCAGAACCCGAGAAGGGCTTGTACTTGGGTTTGGGCTTGGTGTACTTCTCCTCATGCTGCTTGAGTTCCACATCGACCTCCTGCCCAGGTTGAACATTCATGATGGAAAGAGGAGCGCGGCCCTGGCGGATACCGTCCAGGATCTCTGCATTTCGGGGATCATCTGATCGAAACAGTTCACCGTCATCCACGGAAAATCCATCAGCCCAGAAATGAAGAGTCCGTTGCACACGCTGGGCACGTTGTTGAGTGGGCGCCGAGGGGCTTTCAATCAGCTGGCTTGGTGTATCGTCACCACCGAGTGTGCGGGCAGTGCCGGTGAAATGTGATTCCCTTGGCTCAGGAGCGTCGGAAGGAGGAGGCTGCGCCCTGTTGACGTTTGAATGTTAGCTAGGTTCAGTATTCCCAGCAATCTCTATATAACGTACCTGCGGGCCTTTTCGAGGATCTTCTTTTTCAAATCGTCGGGGTTCTGCACAGCAAGTCCGGACTTTTCACCACCTGCAAAGAAATCATGGTCATCGGTGTCATCGCCATCGGACGAATCACCAGCTCCGCCACCTCCTCCTGAAGCAAAGTCTCCCAGTGTCGCAAACTTCTTCTTGGGCGGAGCTCTTCGGGTGGACGATGAGGATGAAGCTGCGGCAGAGGATGAAGCCGGTACGGCACTTCCCCGAGAGTTCTGCCCCCTGTAGTAGCTCCAGAACTACCCTCTGTGCCTAGTTGTCGCTCGCCACCAGTGGTGGTATCCTGCAAGGCTTCGTCCTGCTCCGCAAAGAACTCTGTGACAGCAGCTTCGATGTCCCACCCATTGGCAGCAAGATATTCTTGAGCCTAAACAATCACGCACTCGGATTTAGCAACCATATTATGTATAAGTCAAGCAATAATCGTACCTCTGAAGCCTGAGTTCCTGTCATAGCACAGAATTGAGACACGGCCTCATCGTGCTCCGCGGGGTTACCCTCCATAGTTGAGCTTGGTGGCGGGTTTTGGAGATAAAAGCGAAAAGAGGAGACCAAGGGAGAAATTAATGGAAGGTCTAATAGCGTAAACGAGGGTTTGTCTTGGGTAGGAGGTAAAATAATGTGAACGTCAAAGAAGCTGCGTTGGATGACAGACCTAAACAACTGGCAGCTGCCCGGTACGTCACTCTCAATTGGTCAGCCGGAGCTCGGAATATTCCGTCCCGCGCAAGCCTCAGGCCCCCACTTCGTGTAGACCTAAGGCCACAAGATATTGTCGGCGCATGAAGACCGGCATACTATAATCGAGGCTCCATATAAATTATTAGCAGAGCCGATACAGAAATACAGAGACTTGAACTCCATTGAATGGACCCCCTATTTTACGATACGACTTCATTCGACAGATATATTGTTCCATTCTAAAACTGATTGCAGGGACATCAACCGTCGAGTTCGACGCAATCGTGCATTTCTCCTCGCCTGTGGGCGTGGAATATACATTCACCTTCAGCCCCCTTGACTCGCTCGTTAGCCGGGTGAGACATCTGGGGAGATGATGGTCTGGATGATCATATACGAAGCTTCTTACGGTTTAAGGCATAATGATCACAATTACCCCCGTAAGAGCAAGATACGGATGACCAAAGACCAAGGAAGACCTCGATCCATGAACTCTATGCCAAGCGAACGAAAAATGGTATCAAAAGGATCGGATCATTCAAGCAAGCCGCATCTCCTTGTCGAAATGTTTCTCGAAGAGAGCTACCCTAAGATTCAAAGTGAAGAAACCAGACCCATAAGCCTGCCGAATCAATGATCATATTCCTTTGTTGCGAAAGCCGAATTTTTTTCGACTAGCTAGAGCTCCAAATATTTTCTTTCATATGCCCCAACCTGCGAAATCCCCTGAAGGCAAACCAGGAAATGAAAGAAATCGCCCTTTTAATGCTACTATATGCATATTTCTTTGTATGGTCCTCGGCCCCTAACACGAAGACTCGCCAAACTCTTTCTTTATTCTTACATGTTCATCGTGCTCCAATTGGGCTATAAAAAGCACCCTCGTTCGCCGAATCTTCGCTATTTCTCAAACTCCTAATTAATCTTTTCCATATCATTACCAAATACTACCCATGATCTGGCTGTATCAAGCTCTCCACATTCAATATGGGGTCTACTACCACTACGACAGAGACTAGCACAAAGAGAAGGGGCCGTGTAGTTGCAGAAGCGCCTACCAGGATTATGCCAGCCAGAAAGGCAAAATCACAATCAAAATCACCGACAAAACTCACGTCGCAGGGGTCGGGATCACAGGGAAGGAAACGCCGAAAGACATCGGACGACACAGCAAATTCAAAGCAACGCCGAACCGCACGGGCCAGCCAAGTAGAAGCCGAGTATGTGCCGTCTGTAAATGATCTGATCAGCGACATCCCAAGAGATGAAAATTTTACAATTGACACATTGCTGCCGGAACTTGCTACGTCATACGTCGGTCGATTCAAATCACCGGCCGCACCAGCACGGGCGAAAAGGAAGCCATGGCCACGACAATCCAGTCCCCTGATAGATCCCGAGAAATTGCCTCCTGGTTGGAGTATGGCTGAACCGGACCTTGACCGACAGTATGTTGACAACGCCAGTATATCTGTGTATGTCCGCTTTGACCACATACTAATGGATGTGGTGCAGTGATATCGACGCACAGATTGAAAGATGCCACGTGAGAATCAAAGAGAATATCATGCCGCACGTCTTTTCACACCGGCTAAAGGGATTGGAAATTTCTCAAGCCAAGCAAATGTAAGCTGAACTTATGCTCACAACGTAGGAGTTACTGATCGAATGTCCCACAGTGCATTAGCCGAATCGGAACCTGGAAACCATAGCTTGGATGTCCTCAAACGCTTGGAAGTTTTGAGGAACATTGAATATCAGCTACAAAGCTCGGACAAATTCAATCAGCTCCCTAATGTCATAGCATTGCTGCAGGCCTATCGTGGAGGATTGCTTCATTGGAACATAGGATTGGTCACTTATTGGTTTGAAGGTGTGCAACTGTGTGAGCCACGGCCGTTCAGTTGGGACGAATTCGAGATGCTCAATACCCACCACTCCGGTAAACGTGGATTTTGGATGGAAGGAGTGAGTTGCCCCTGAAGTCCGTTCATAGACAGCCATAATGATACAAAACGTTCGCAAATAGCTGGTTGGGCCCGGACCTTCACACTCATTAGTGGTCGCTGCTTTAGCTGGACAACCCCCCGCCTATGGGGTTCTTTTCTCGCACTGTATGTCCTCCAAAGATCCCCTTTTGCTCAATCCTGAATCTTTTTTTAGTATATGGTCGCCATTCGTGTCCCTGGTTTGAGGTGGTACGCAGAGCTTGAATTTCTATATGACACCGGGGCTTGTATGATGTCATTATTTGAGGGTGATCTTCAAAATATCATGGGAAGATCGACCGAGGAACCCAATGTCATGGGGCTAAATGCATCAACTATAGCTGATGGTAGCACGATGGTTGCCCCAGTGATTGAACTGCAAGTTACCATACTGGATAATCAAAGAAGGCGAATGACGCAATGGGTCAGAGTCCAATGTCAGGTATATCGAGGTTGGTGTAACGACACAGATCACAGACTGGACGGCCCCTGGCTACGGCAAATGCTATACACAGGGTCAGCTCCGCGCAACAATGACTTGATGTGGCTTGCGAATACTCATGCTGAAATCGTCGGCGCTATACCAGATACAGGTCATTCTCGAAGACTTCCAGCTATAGTTCCCGCGAAAATGCCCCTTGATCCAGGCGGGCGGGCCTCTCTGATGCCTCGTGGACATCCTAGAGCCAATGTAGTTCCTCCAGCTTTGTTACATCGAAAGATGCCCCGGGTGGCACCATGGTAGTAGAACAAAAGATCATTGTTATCTCATCGTTCTCAATGCCCTTGAATTATTCCTTTGTTTTTAGTTTCAACCAGCTACTATAATTAGAATGGCCTCTTGTTTACTCGAAAAAATTCGCTTTTGACATCATGATCTCTCCGGATATCCCCCAATATCAATTCCGGTTTTCCCATGCGATTTGATGAAATAAATCCATAGCTTGAGTCTGTAAAAAAACGTCAAAAAACCAACGCATCTGCGGTTTTGTTCGAAACATCGTCAACGCAATAAAGATGCGTTGGACACCTGGCACGGGTAAGCGTTCAAAATAGTTGAGATCATCTACGATAGCTGTCTAACAGACCTATAAATCCGCTGAAGAGGGCTCCATACTATGGATTGCTCCGTACAACCTTCAACCACCCCCCAAATATTACACGATTTATAGATTGAGTCACAATCGTGACTAGCACAAGTTAACGGCAATCGATATAGTAGAAATTTTCGCTAGCATGACTCCAAGATCAATATGTTGAAGCGTACTCGGGTACGCTTACTCCAGTCTCGCCAATCATTGATGAGGTTTCATTCTATGGCCATTATTGACATAAATAATAAAATCTCGGTGAATTATGCTCAGACCATTCACGATATTGCGTGTCGACGATAAATGGAGAATGTCTGAGTATTGTGGGGTAGCTATATATGTTGGAATTAGTGGCCTTATGCGTCAGACATGTAGTTTAAACACTAACTTCGTAGTTATTAAAAGTAATTCGTTTCCCTAGCAACCTTCTATATGTAATACGCGATCAACAACCCAATACTCATGCCTTTTCAATGTATACAATATGTATACAATACTGACGTAGGGCTTGATTCCGCATTTGGACACCCCACATCACGTGCCGTTGTAGCATTGTCCCGGTGCTTAATCCCAGCTTTCCTCGAACAAATTGCGCGCAATTTCAAATCGAGCCTCCATTGCCTAACATGCCGCTCTGGTTTAACTAATAAATTTATGGGACTGTACCTGTCGCTAATGTCTTGAAAATATTGTCCAACTCCCAAATCGCTTCCGTTCCTCCACCTCCATGCTGCCAATGACCGAACGAAACACCGCTGTATAGGCCGATACACGATAAATCCAAGACCGACTAAGGGTATATTGTACCAAAAATTTTTTTTTTTCTTGAGCCAGAATGACGTCCCCTTACCCAACATCAAATTCATTCTCGCCCTCCGTTGCCTCCGACATGGCTGGAGCACCCAACAGAGCAGTCTCCGATTTGCCGCAGGCTCAGGTCGACGCGATCATCCGCACGAAACGCAAGGCTCGTGAGCCCAAAGCCTGCTATCCATGCCACGCGCGCAAGGTTAAATGCGATCGCAACCTGCCGTGTGATGGGTGCGTTAAGCGCGACCATGCAGACCTTTGCTCTTACGAACGCCCCTCCAAGAAACGATCGCAAGCCTTCAACGAGAGCGCCGCCCCTAGTGCGTCAACGGCACCCGTGCCTGAGTATTCAACAACATATACGTATGATGAAACCCCGGCGGAAGTGAAACATGAGCCAACTCTGAACCGACCGAGCGTCCCTGCTACAGGTGGTGGCCGTATTTCAATCGCCCGCGAGGAATGGGATAATGTGCGCAATAGATTGCAAGAAATGGAGTCTACGATTTCTTCACTTCGAGTTGGGCTGGAGAGGGCAGAAGACGGTGCACCAACCACCATGGACACCGGAAGCGTGCAGAGTGCCGATGCGAGTTCCCGATCCAAGTGTGCCTCGCCGGAACGCGAGGGCATCCATGCTGCGAATACTCTTGGCAAAGGCACTGTTCATTTGGGATCGCGTTCTGTTCTGGCTTATATTCTGAACAATCAGTCCGGGTCTGATCAACTGCAAGCACTTTTGGAAGGAGGAATACTACCCAAGCTCGGTTTGGATAATGAGTCTGCAACCTATCCATTTGTTGATCTATGGTCGTCCGATATGTCGACGTTTGATATCACTGCCGTCTGCAGCGCCCTTCCCACTGATCAACACTGCAGAGAGTGTGTAGTCCTTTCAAATCGAAAATCGAACTTTTGATTGAGATTGTTTGTGCTAACTTTCCTTCCTCTCCATAGGTTATTCTATTACTACAAGGACATTTCGGGGGCCATCTATCCTGTTTTAGAAGACATCTATGAGTTTGAGAACACCCTCGAGCTTCTACTGGGGACAAGAGCCTCTACCGGTGGCGAGTACCTGGCTGATGCAGACCAGGCACAAAAGCCTTTCGGGGTGAGCATTGCGTACCTAGGACTACTATTCGCTATCCTTGCTTCTGGATGCCAGTCATCCGATTATGGGAGCAAGGAAAGGGAATTGACCTCGCAAGTTTATGGTATGTGATCCACATCAAAGATTTGAGTCCTTGGCTAACATTTCAAATAGTGTGCTGCTCCTACCAGTGCCTCCGCATGACAAATTTCCTATCCCAACCCACTATTGAGGCAATTCAAACTCTCCTGGTGATAGGAAACGTTTTGTCATACAACATGAATCCTGGAATTTCTTATGTCTTGCTTGGCATGACTCTTCGCATGGGCTTGGCGCTTGGTCTCCATGTGGAGTCAAGCCGATTCTCGCCAGCTGAACGATACCGCAGACGACATGTTTGGTAAGATAATTTCTCTTCCATAACCCTCAAGTATGTGGCCCTGACATCAGTAGGTGGTCCATGGCGTGGCAAGATAGCCATTTTTCGCTCTCCTACGATCGGCCCTCCACCACTGCAGTGAGCCAGCCAGATATCGCTTATAGGGATGGCTCTAAACCTGGTGACATATCTTATTTTGAAACTCTTTCTCGAGTCATTTCTCTTGCACTAGAGGTTGTCCGCATTCGCATGCTGAGCCCACACGCGCAAATAAGTCTGGAGAGCATACAGACTTATAAGGGCCGCATCCAGAAGATCATGATTGAGGCAAAGCCATACCTGCGAGATGCAATTAACTGTTCCACACCTACGCAACATCTGGAGCGAGTTGTGTTGAAATTGCATTCTTCTTATTTCGCCTCTGAGCTCTGCAGGCCAGCGCTCAAACCCATGGCTGATTTAAGTGACGCCAGCGCAGCCAGCATGCGCGAAAATTGCGTGGTGAATCTGATGACGACTGTTGAAGCTTATATTGAAATGCACAACATCAGCTCCCACGCGGCTCGTTCCTGGATCTTATTACAGCGGGCGATTAGCTCCGCATTCCTGCTTGCCGTCATTGACGAGGCGAAAGCGGACCCGAATGTGTGGAATCTCCTGCATTCACTCGAAGGTATTATCGCTCAAAAAGCAAGTACGGAACGTGCCTATGACTCCAATGAGGCCCCCCGCTGTGGCCAGTATGACCTCGCCGCCCCAACCTCTCGGCACTTACGACCCAATCACAGGGGCCACGAACCTCCCAGGCCCCAGCGCCCCGGCGGTGGATGCGAATTCTCCGGTTGGGTTACCCCCTGACACCCAAACGCAATGGGCCAAGTCGCTAGCGAAAACACATCGTGCTTTGCAAAAACTCCTTGCCGCAGTTGGGAATCCGTCTACGCGTCCTCCAACGGGACGCAATGGTACGCCTATGTACTCCAGTAGTACTCCTAACCTCAACCCGGCCTCCGCTTCCATGGGTACACTTGCCCCTGGGCAGGCAAACATGACCCCCAGCGTTGGTTCTCTTCCACCTCCGACGCCAGAAAGTTCTGCTAGTGGTGAATGGACAATGCCCAATATAATGGATCGTGCAGCAGAATATATTCATCCACCCCTGTGGGGCTAGTGATTTGAAGTGACTTGTCCCTCGAAACGCGTTTACTTTTCAATTGTCTTTCTTCAGCGCGGCGCCGGCGTTTTTTTCCGGTTCATCTCATGATTGTTGTTATTTTCGCAAATTTATTTAAATTTGTTAAGAGAAGGGGGGGGATATTCTTATGAATTGAATATGTTCTTCCGTGTGATATGCGCCATTGAACGTTTAGTATCTGTATAATCTCTTTTACGAAATCCTATATCGCTATACGTTCAATCACCCTTCCCCCCCTGAATACGATCTATGCATACTGTCTACGTCAATGTCTTCAATGCTTTTCGACGGGAGTGTCTGCCAAAGCAGCCTCGAAACTAGTCTCTCTTTGACCGGGGCCCTCGGAATGGGATGTCCGCTAGTGAAAGTTGGCCAACATTGCTACAGCGATATTCAAGATTCACCTTGTAAGAAGGGGCACCCTTTCTCTTTTCACCTCCAGATCGGCATTCTGCTCCATCATTCCCCACAATCTGAATAGTGGAGAGCGGTTAGAGTGAGTCCACATCCCCGGAGCCCCGTCCGGTCTCCGGGGAAATTACATCATGACTACTAATATTAGCCCTAACTTCTAAGGTTGACTACATCGGCACTTTGTTTTTAACTATGAAGTAGACCAACTATAGATGACTCTGACACGCTTGCATAGTAGTTTCATGATTGTGCTTGCTAGACCATGGTAGTTGCAATACACCTTAAATTAGCTTCGTTCTGCAGTGACTGATATGACTCAAGTTTCACATCTCTGCTCATCTGATTTCCGGGAGTATCACTCTTCTACTTTCCTTGCTAGTCATAGATCCATGAAAATTTTCAAGGATGACAAAGTATCTCTCAAATCGTTGCATCTCGCAGGGGGGTGCTGGCGTCCCGGGATCTAAGTATATAGCAAGACCGGTTGAAGATATGACTAGAAGACTAGAAGACTAGGATCTATCAATTATCACTTGAAATTAAGGATACATCACATCAAGAAGAGTACTGACGCTCAGAAGGCACGAAATGGAGCGTATCCAAACGTACTGTAATCGGCCTCAGGCACTCCAACCTCCTCCCGACATGTAGATATTTATCTCCTCACATCTTCATATATAATTCATGACTGTATCCTAATGGGGTTAAACTCCTATCATTTTACCTAATCTTATCTCCTTGAGCAATCCCACGAGATCATTTAATGTGAGACATTTACATCCCCGGGCGCCCTACTACTGATATCCGAGACAGCTTAATTTCCAAGCGCACTACGAAGGGCCGATATTATTGGACACCGTGTGGGAACCCCAACTGTCGAATCGGTGAATGCGGAGACCAGCGTAGTACAAATTCGGGCAGTTATTTACGCCGGAGTCAGCAGAGTCAGAAACGCTCCGAGGTAAAATGCACCTCAGCCTTTCTACTCTCTTTTAAGCGAAACCCAGAATCAGCTCCAGCAATCTCACTACAGCTATTATTTATTCTTCCCACATTTCCACCAAAAGACATCTACCTCGGTACGTCTTGCAAGACCAGATCGCAATCTCTCGTCGCAATTATGTCTTCTGAATCCCCCAACAAGTACCTCAAAGTCGGGGTCCTCCTGTTTCCCGGCGCAGACATCCTCGACTTTGCAGGTCCAATCGAAGTCTTATCCCATGTCTCGCACAACCGAAACCCAGATAGTCCGGACAGAATGTTCGAAATCAAAACTGTCGCTTGCAGCCCCGCCATTCGTGCTGCAAGTTCGCTTACAGTTCATGCAGACCTGCTCTTGCCTGATGCGGTTGATCAGATTTCGGATTTTCATATCCTTGTCGTCCCCGGTGGGCCCCCGGCGGTGCTACAGCCACTGATCAAAGGCAACGCACTGGAGCTTGATTTGATTCGCAAATTTGCAGCCCTACCTGCAGATAAGTCACTGGGCACCCGGACTTTGCTGTCTGTTTGTACCGGTGCCTTTCTGCTCGGGGCCGCAGGTGTACTCGGCGGAATGACTGTGACAACCCACCACCATGCTCTTGACAGACTTCGAGATATTTGTGCTCGTTTTAATGCTCAGGGCGAGCCTGCTACGACTGTACTGCACAAGCGATATCTTGACGGGGGTCTATTGAAGGGAGGCGGTGTTCAACTCCTAACGGCGGGTGGGATAAGCTCAGGCTTAGACGCAACATGCTACCTTGTTAGTCAATTGGCAACACATGACATGACAGCATTTATCGTTCGGGTTATGGAGTATGATTGGCGTGAGCTCGAAGAGTGAGCTGCATGTTTAGCAGTAATGAATGTTATAATGCTGATAAAGCACCGGGGTGGAATCAAATTTGAACACAGAAATAAGAGGTATCACACCAGGTGTGCTTGGCTCCATCCAATTTAACCAATTAGACAATATATACTTCTCTGGTTTTACTATTTTCTGATCTTGCTATGTCAATCCAACGTATATATGTCACAGGGTATAAGTCTGACGGCTATTTTTAATTACTCCAAAATAAACATTCATTGATGGCTCAGCCCTGGGGAGAGTCCATGTTACCGTTGCGCTGAGTATTTTGTATAATGTCATAGTTAATCAACAAACCAAAATCCGGGGTGGGTCGAACTAACGTTGCCGCTTTCTAGCGGTCTAAGTCACAATATGTTACATGTGTCTTGAATTTGCATAGGCTTACCTAGAATGAGATTTTTTGTCGCTTTCTAGCATTTACAGCGGGTTGCCGGGGATCCCGAGACCCCCTTGGAAGACTCATTGACACATATAGGCACAACCATTTCGATTGTCCAATAGATCTGAAACTTTCATGCACCCCTAGTCATCCGACACAATGGATAATTGAGGCTTTTCTCATTTACTCTGGGAATATCCCTCAAGCCACCTCGCTCTTCGGTTCTACGCGAGCATTGCTGACACTACTGAAAAGGGTAACTGAAGCTTTCGAGTTTTAAGCTTCTCAGACTCAGCACCCAACCTACTGAGAATTCAACTTCAAGCCATTTACTAAGTTGGCCATAGCTGTTTAGTGAGTTTTCTCTATTATGACCTCATTCATGGGGTCAAGTATAGTAGGAAAGCATGGCGGCAAGTTGTACAGGGTGATGGCCACTCGTCCCATTCGTGCCTGGGATGCCCTAGGTTGAACCTAAGACTTGACTTCTTAGTCCGCATCAGGAGTTACAGTCATCGGAACGGAGGGTTGAACTTCCCAGATTTTCTGTCGCGAGGTCAGTGTTCTGGCTGATGCTGGTTATATAGCACCATCTGGTTCTGGATAAAACAACACATCTCTATTTCCTCAGGACTCAAGTGAGACCAATATAGTAACTTCTCATCCAGGCTTTTTCCTCATACCTTTTTTGGGTAGAATAGTACCTGACTCAGAGTATCTCCCTTTGGCAACATACATTCCAGATCGAGTCACGATGATCGCCTTGGCACCGGGTGCGGACATTGTCCCCACTACATACCACCCCAAGCATGCCGAGAATGGAATTTCCCCTTTCGACAGGGGAATATCCAATCAAAAAGTCACTCTGAAGGCTGTGGGAATCACGCCTCCTGAATCTGACAGCGCGGATCCGGTGGTGATTACCTCAAACGGCAATGGTACCAACCAACGCGAACAAAATGTGCTCAACAGCCTCGCATCTGAGATCTCGAAAACCCCATCGGGAGATGAATTGATGGCCATGGATGTATTGAAGATTATCGAAAGTTATGGTGTTGACTTTGAGAAGTCGGGTATTTCGTGGAAGGGCTTTGAGTCGTTTGTTCCAGTTGTCCTGGAGCAAATCGCCAGACAAGAGCCAATCCGCATGATCTTGCCCGCATTTCCTTTCAAATCACCCAATGCGCGCAGTAAAGTGCTGGGCACCATGCCAGACTTTGGTGAAGAATTGGCCTTGGCCCATTTGAATGGACTATGCCAAAACATCGGCGAAGTATACGCTCCCGGTGCCGATGTCTACATCAGTTCTGATGGACTTGTATACAATGGTAAGGAAATGACCAAGATGGATGTTTATAGCTATTCAATACTGACGTGAGGTAGATATCCTTGGCGTCCCTGACGAAACCGTTTGGGACTATGGAGAAACCCTGCGAAAAATGGCCATCGAAAAAGAGCTCCACCATGTGAAATTCATTCGTCTTTTCGAGCTTCTCGAGCATCCATGGTTCCCATCCTCAACCCCAGAAGCCGCTAAGGCATTCTATCTGGCTCATGCCAGTTGCCTCCGCCGAGAACTGATGTACAAATTTGCTGACCCGAGCTTCGACGCGACGGAGGCTATCAAAACCGACAATGATACATGTCTGACATACCGCGGCTACATCAAGTTCTTGACTAAGGATCTAGCCCATCTTGAGGAAAGGGATAAATCCATGTCAAAACGCGCCCGACAAGCGCAAATTGCCGACACAGCACGACAGATGATCATTCGGGGGAAAATGTTCGCGGCGGCCATCAAAGCCAACCGAAAGGACTACGTGCGACTATCTATCCACGAGTCCGCGGGCGAGAAAAAGCTCTCCGTCTCGCTTATTCCACAGATTCGGGGCACACTGGGGTACACACCTTGGCACTCTTCTGTGGCTGTTGGACTGGACGGTTCATATCGCACGGTCCACGCCGAGGACGTTCGCGACACCCACGACCTCATCTATAAGAACGGACAACCATATTTCTTCCGCGAAAGATCAAGTCTCTTTGACTGGACCGAGGACGGTCTATCCGTCAAGTTCGAGCATCTTTATCCCTGCGGACTCATCATCCGCCCCGCTGATATCGACAATGTCAATCCGCCGCCGTCGATCCGCTCCATCCCCATGAAGAAAGTGCGCCAGCTGTCGAACGGTATGTCGCCCATTATTATTCGCGGGTTTTCCGAGACTCTTGAGGAAGATCTCTATGTCAAGAAGGGAGAAGAGCTTGGCACTATTCTCCCATGGAGCTTCGGCATAATTCAAAAGGTACGGGACAACGGCCGCTCTGACAAGATGGGCAACAACGTGACCTCGAACGAGGCTATGCCGATGCATTTTGATGGAATGTTCAAATTCGATGAGATCACCGACCCAGAGACAGGCGAGAAGAAAAAAGTCCAACATCCACCGGGCTATCAGTTCTTCACTTGTCCCGCCACCGCGCCGAAGGGCAATGGGTACACTTTGTTTGCAAGCTCCCGACTGTTCTTCCGGTACCTGCCTATTCCATGGTCTGCTGAGCGCCTTGAGAAAGTTACTTGGGCTATGGATAACGATGGGTTCTGGGATGCAAAACTTAAGAACCTGCCTTTGATTGTGAAACATCCTATCTCTGGACTTCCTTGTCTGCGCTGGCATCAACCTTGGGACTCAACCAAGACCAAATTCTCGACTTGTGATGTTTCAATTGAGAATGACGACAATAGTCTGGTCAATGTTGTGGATCGTATTATATATGACTATAGAGTCTGTCTTCGCTTTGGTTGGGAGAGGGGTGATCTGTTAATCAGTGATAATACTGCCATGCTGCATACTCGCACTGGATATATCAGTAATTGTGATCGGGAGCTGTGGCGAATTCACTGTGATTGAGATGTTCATGCGTCTTGGATTTTGATCTTGTGTTCTTTGTTTTTTGTCATTCTTTTCTGTCTCCATTTGGTCACTCGTTTTCTCACATATTTGGCTTATGTTTGGTGCGAAGTTGCTAAGTATCCTGAAGCAATTACACACGTCTTCAATGCAATATCCAATAGATTTCGAGTTTGGTGTCTTTGAATATCTTCCATGCTAAGTCTCTGTAAGATGAATATAAAACGGCTCTCTCCCTTTGGTACTATTTAACTCGTCTAAACAATAAGCACCATCCTAATGACTAGCATTCTACCAATCCCTAACTATCGGATTTCATGTTCGTTCCAGAGGGTGATACCCCAAAATTCGTTGTCTATACTCAGTTTCGGTAAAAAGTAGATTGCTCTCTAGAAAAAACCATGATATATTCACAATTCGTCCATGCCCGCTCTTTGTGTATATCCCACTCTCAACCCCTGCTCTGCCACCTCTATCATTATACAAGACCACAACCGACTCACATCATCCTAACAGGAAATCCCCCCTTGGTGGGCTTGTATTTACCGTCTTATGCAAAGGACACACATGCGGATATGAAACCCCGCCCATCCAGGGCCTTGAAGTGGAGTGCGCAGAATGCCCAGAATGGACATTATGAGGATAACATATACAACCCATAGTCTGGGAGTTAGCCTGCTTTGATGGAGCGCTCTGTTCCGAACCATTCTGACTAGTACCATAGGGGGAGGTTGGTGAAGGGAATGAAGCCATAGAGGCCGATGCCAGAGACTCTGGAGGAACCAGAACAATCACTTTGTATTGAGGAGACATGGTGTTGATGACCTCGATGATTTGCGGCAATGCCTCCTCTGCCTTTTGTTAGTTGCTTGGTCCAAATAATAACTTCTATACCATGTAGTTGGAGTACTGACCAGTCGCGACGTAGTACAGCGGCTGATTGAGCGCTGATGTAGACAAGGAGTCTGGTACCAAGGTCTCCGTGGTACCTATCATTTCCCGGTATGTATCGCCGTTGAGACTAGAGCTGGGTGGTGACATGCCGTGGATTGACTGTGTTGGGGGGCTTGTTATAGGGGATATTAGACTTGCTTCACTGAGTCCGGTAAATTGGGAAAGATCGCCGGGATGCACATGTTGTGTAAATGTGTTGAAGTCGTTTGGCCAGGACTGCGAGAACTGGGGATATGACGGCATGAATGAAGTACATTGGTCTGGGGTTAAAGGGGACACATCTCGCGAGGTGAACCCGAGCTCATTCTCGGAAGATGAGTGAGACCGTTGGAATAGCGATGAGTTATATGCCTGATCCCATCCGTTGAGAGCAGCAGCAGCTCTGAGTTCGTTGGCGATGACGCGCTCTTGAAGTTTTGCGATACGCTCTCTGATCTTGCGGCCTAGGTTTCGTCAGTTACAAACTTGTCTTCTCTGTTTATGGCAATATCTTACGGTGGTTTCTTTGCGAAAGGCGGTTCTGCAATCTCCTTCTTTCCAGTGGATCTTGTGTTTGGCTGAGGATATCCTCATCCTTAGGACTTGTAGACTGCTCTTCCATCTTCATCTTGTGGGGTGTTGTTATGTTGGGTTACAGGCTTGACGGATACTATCGTGCTCGTGGATGTTGCATATCCCATATAAGTTCTTTCAGCAGAAATTGCGAGTCTCCAGGTGTTCAGTGTGGAAACTCAGAAGCAAAAGGCCCATCGCCGTCAGCCTCCCTTTGCTTTATACAGGCCGTGCGCCCACGAGGGAAAAATCGCGCCTGATCTCACTGTGTGACGCAGTCTGTACAACGGATCTTCGGTGATCAATGATTCGGTCTGAAAGCCACTGGTTCATCCTCCGCCTCTTCAGCCGCGTGATGGTATTTGGTCTGGCCAGGCCAAACCACCTGCCGTTCTCAGCTTGCCGACTCCTTGTAGACAAAGCTCTTGTGCAGAATTGTGTATTCTGGGAGAAGGTTTCAGGATGGTCGCACGAGTTAGTGTAATCAGAGGCTATCCCCGGCCTGGACATGTGTATGGACATGATGCTGCCCTGGATCCTTCCATTCCTTTGTTCCAGCAATCTGGGATTCAGCAAAAATCATGAAACTCTCAGCTTGGGTCCGCCTTCGATGGCTCAAAGACTCGCATCTCGGAGCCGAACAACCTGTTTTGACTCCTTGACGTGGCAAGACCGTGCTACCTTGCCCTTAGTGTTAACCTACTTACCCCCGGTACTTTTGGATGATTATCCCCGCCTACTTATACTTCATATCACATGTAGGTGTCAAGGTATCTTGTTGTAGACTCAGACACCTCCGAATTCAGCCTTTATACTACCTAATTACACGGACCCACGTGGCAAGGGCAATTGCCATGATCTTGTGTTCGAGCTGAGAATAAACCAGGCAGACGATCTCCTATTGGGCTTTATCTGTCTCCAGGCTACACTCATCAACAGTTCATAGAAGTTCATATAAGGACAGGGAGACCAAGGCTATGGTGACAGGCCACCAGTTGCGAGGCTATTACCGCTAGTACAACCTTCAATATGAAGTCTAAAAATAAGACATGTTGGGCCATGGCCCCTTCCTACAAGAACAATGAGCTCACACTGGATATACTCCGGGTTTGACCCAAACTGGTTGTCTTATACCTTCTTTTACTCTAGGTTTTGGGGAGGTCACATTACTTTCTCAATTATTCTCAATTATTCTTGGCTCAATAGCTCGAAACTATCCCACTGAGCACCTCCCAAAAGGGTCATTATGCAGTTGCGTCATGATGGGCTAATTTCCCACCTTCGGTCCAACAGCTTAGAATGTGAATGAACTTCTGTTATGAGCCTAGCTAACTGTTAGGTGGTGCTACTTTGACAGCTCTTCTATCCCCCGGGATATATATGCATGTGAGATCCAGCCGTAGGGACTGGCGGAAGATCCGGTTTGGTTTGTCGCTGGATTGTATTCTGGAACGCAAATCTCTTTGTGTAACGGAGAGATGCTTTATTTCGCAAGTGATTTGTAATTATTCTCTACATTGCACGGCTCTTGGTGTAGAAAGTGATTTGCCGCACAACTATGAGTGTAAGATGAATCTGTTTAGTATATAGTACTCATGTTATAGTAGAATGTAAGTGAAATAAGCCAATATCCACATAATAGGATTACAACCAATCAATTTGCACATTTTAGGCATCAACATCTAAGTAAAGACAATAAAACCAACACTCACCAGCCTTGATTTTGTTGGTTGACATCGCAGCCAGTAAGCCGCCAAGGATTCCGTAAACAGCCGGGGCCCTCAAACAGTACCACCACTCTCCAACTCATCTTCCCCTCTCCCAGTCACAACACGCTTCATCCTGTTATCGCAGCTTGACAGAATGGTAGCTTTTCTCAACATAGTGGGAAATCTTCTCCCATATCATCTTCTCTCCTATGGCGCTCTCCTCGGAACAGAGCTCTACCAGGTGCATCTCTTGTCTCTCAAACAAGCAAGCTATCTCATGACTAACCACATAAAGAGCTTCGTCAACACAAAAATCTGCTACCAAGCCTTGCCAATGAAGGAGTTCATCCTCCTTCAAAAGCGCCTTTTCCCCATCTACTTCGGAACGCAAGTCGGACTCACAGCGTTGACGGCAGCAACACACCCACCGTACAGTATTTTGTCACTGGTCCAAGACCCATGGAGCGTAACTCCTCTTGCTATTGCTGGATTGACCGGATGCCTGAATTGGTTCATCTACGGGCCTCGAACGACAACTGCAACGTTGGTCAGGAGAGCACTACAAGGTGGGATTGCGTTTACCTGGATACGCCTCATTTTCCTTCAAACGATACAGCTAACGTTCCATTTCGCCTACAGAAAGCGATAACACCGATGCTGCCGCCGATGGGTCAAAGGTACATCGAGCTAACCGCAATTTCGCGCGAAATCACGCAATGGCCATCCATTTGAATGCTATTGCCATGATAGCTACTGTGTTTTATGGGTTCTCGCTTTCTGCCACACTTGTAGCAGGGATTTAGGCAAAGCCGCCATATCACAAAACTTTGATGCATGTGTGACTGCAGTAACAGAGTTTTGAATGACATGTTCATATCATTTCCTTTCTCAACTGCTGATATCATTTGGCTCCTAAAATAAATCTCAACTCTGTCTCTGATGCTGTTCCACCTACGTAACAAGGGAGATAACTTCTCACTTAACAGCATCAACTAAACATCGAGGTTCTCATTCTATGTTGTAGATGACCCCAATGGATATGCCAATCAGTGTTGCACATTTCGAGTTCCACCTACATTGGGACTATCTTGAAGAATGGCATATAGAGAAATAACTAAATACCTGTTCGTTATTTTGGAGAATATTGCGCTCCCTGGGTCTTTATGATAAAAATGACATCTGGGGACAAGATTATAACACATTTTACCGTCAGGACTTTAACAGTATATATATCTCTTACCAAACAGGCCCTGAGTTCAAGACAACCATTTTCGGAACTCAAGATATCAAACGCTATCCCAGAATCAAAGCCACCTAGCAGTAAAACCCAACAAAAACTTAGCCAAAGATAGCCACCGTGGACAGTGTGACATCAGGGCAAGTGTGTTGACTTCCGCTGACAGCAGGTGCATTAGGGCACGGAGCTCCAAGTAGAAACCCAACCCTCTATATAGCACTAGCAAAAGAGTAGCAATATCCATTCTCTAATCTTCTTAATTCTTGTTCCTACGAAATCTGCCAAACCTATCTCCACCATGTCGTTACTTTCTATACTCCTCTCCACCCTCCTAACCCTCCTCCTCCCACCCATCCTCTTCCTAATATGGTACCTCCACATCCCCCCGAAACCTCCCAAACCTCCCCAAAATCCCAATCTACGTCTCCATCCTCGGCCTCTGGTCCTCAATGGGCCAAGATGAGATCTACGAACGCTGGTTCAGGGCCCCATTAGAGAAACACGGCGCCGTGTTAGTCTGGTTCGCAGGACGATGGAGTGTTCTCGTCTCACGACCAGATTGGTTAACCGATATGTTCCGCAATGAACAAATATATGCAAAAGCAGGGAGTCAGATTAAGATCCCGCATGCTGTTATTGCGACGCTTGTCGGTGATAATATCATCAATGCCCACGGTGAGAATTGGAGACTTTACACTGGTATCATGAAGGCCGGATTGCAGAAGAAGGTTTTTGAGACGACTTCTTTATTGAAACAGTCGAGGAAATTGGTTGATGTTTTGATTGATCTGCAGAAAGAGACTGGAGCCAACAAAGGTATTCTAGTTATGGCAGATGTACAGAAATGGGCCGTTGATGTGATGGGCGAGAATTTCTTAGACTTGGATTTGAAGGTATCAACCGCCAACCTGCAATGAACATCCAATCTCCAATGCTACATCTTAATAAGTACTAACCAACCCTCTGACAGAGTCTGGGCCAACCCAACGGCGCCGTCCGAATCGAAGCCCTCCAATCCATAATCAAAGCAACCCTTTTCAAACCAATGTACTTTAGCTTCCCAGATCTCGACCACTTCCCCTGGCTGCTACCCTCACGCAAACACGCGTATCAAATAATGCAAGAATTCGACAGTCGACTATACACGATGATAATGAACATGCTCCACAAGCGCACACAAGAAAAACCCACACAATCCGAAGAAATCGTCTCGCACATGCTGGGGGCAGCATACACGTCTGGTCGAATAACCGAGAAACAATTCCGTGATAATCTAAAGATCACCTTCCTAACGGCCCATGAAAACGCCCAGCAACTCGTCACATCGATGTTCTGGCAGCTGGGGACACGAGTCGATATCCAGGATCGATTGCGGGAGGAGATCCTGACTACAGCGAAGATTCATCCGGATCCATCACAGGAAGTCATCAATAATCTCCCGTACCTCACGGCTGTGGTGTTGGAACTACTTCGTCTCTTCCCGCCTGTGTGTCAGCTCATTAACCGGGTCGCGTTACAGCCCGCACTGCTGGGTGGCGAGCTTCCTATCCCGAAGGGTGCGTTTGTGGGATGGAATGCGTGGGCGGTGCATAGTAACCCCGATGTATGGGGTTCTGATGCGCGGGAGTTCCGGGCTGAGAGGTGGGGGGAGACCGTTGAAGAGATGCAAGGGCGCTTCCGGAGGGAGACGGTCCGGGGTACGTATATTCCGTTTAATGCGCATAAGCGGAAGTGTCTTGGGCAGGGGTTTGCGTTATTGCAGGTGAAGGTTTTGTTGTTTGTTTTGTTGGGGAGGGTTAAGTGGGTTGTTGATCCTGAGTATCGGTTGAAGATGACGCCGGTATGTTGTTTCTTCCCTGGCGGGATTTGATGATGTATGCTGATTTGAATAGGGTGGGATTCTGGCGCCGCTGGGTTGTCGGGTTATCTTGACGGACTTGGATTCTTCGTCGTGAAGAGACCGAGTTGTACTGGTCGATGGATGATTGGTATCAGATGTGTTGGTGATCGATGTGGAATAAAGCGTTAGAATGAGTGGCAATGGACTAGAATGCGGCAAGAAAGCACTCCATACTCCAAGAAACGTGGGATTAACATCCAAATATGATCAAATGACCGCTAAATTGTCCAATTGTCTAATATAATCGCTCTCGTGGTATCACATGTAGCATGGGGGGAAAAGTTCAACCCCCAAAACGCCTTTAAAAAAATAACCAGACACATCTATCCTCGCTTCATAGATGTCACATTATTGTAAGTTGCTGGATTCTGCCGAAACCTGCTTGCATATCGTTACAAGATAGCTTGCCATTGCGCAGTTCTGGTAGCCTCGAATTCGTACATCTTCACGCTTTCTAGAAGTACAAACGATTCGTATCGAAGTCCTCGTTCGCGGTCTTTGGTTTGGGACCATTGTTCGACGGTCCCGTTCCAGACATTGGCGTAGCCATCGAATAGTGACCGCCAGTAGCAGGCTTCGGCGGCAGGTGTGAGATATCGCTCACGGAAAGTCTTCACACTGTTGTTGGCGATGCGCTGTGCAACTTCAGTGTTGGTAACTAGGGGCTCCATCTTGTCAGGTAAGTCGCTGAAATCGCGCTCGACCTCGACATAATTTTGGTTGGGACCATCTGCCACTAATAGATAATGGTGATGTTGAATGAATTGGAGTTTGTGTGCGACAATAACAGAATTGCAAGCCTGTCGATATTTTAATGAAGCCGAATAAGAGCGACCTAAAAATAATGGCGTATGGTTAGTGGCAAGTTCGCAATAGAGGAATAAAAATACAACTCACCTTCAACATGCGCAATAAACATATAATGGCAATGATCTTCCATCCTAAGGACATTGGAACCCGTGTTCCAATCAACCTGTTTAACATCGCCCCACGATTTGTCCCTAGCGGCCTCCATCAACGCGCGTCGTAATTTGGGTGCGAAACTGGGCTTGCCCCGCCAGACCAACTGTGGCGTTTTCTCTGACCAGGGGATATCCATCCTCTCGATTCGCTCAACCACCTGGTCATATGGCCCCATATAATTGTCGCGATTATCCCAAGCCCAAAAGCTAAAATCCGGCATAAGCCACACGCCTTCTTCCGTGGACGTGCGCGAAAACACCCAAACCGGCCATTCGGAATTGGTCACATCCTCAACCTTATCCTCCACCGAGAAGACAAATTCCAAGTCCCGTCGAGACAGTCGTTCCGGGTCGGCGGCCAGCGCACGATGGATTGAGCTCAACGTCCCCAGAATTTTCCGTCGATGATCCTCGCCTTTGGATCGCGCCGTCACCACATATAATTGTCCATTGGAGATAAATGCGCGCGCCATACCATGTTGGATTGGGATGGCGTCCAGTTCTACAGCCGACAAGCGATCGTGCGAAGACCAGAATTTGACACCGCGCGCGATGTCCTCGAATAACCCGGGAAAGGCGGATTTGCACTGGCTGTTGCTGAGGGCCTCGTTGCGACCATCCCGGGTATATTCAAAGGACCAAGCGCGGGTGGTGTCTGCCTGGAGACCGGGTTCGGGACAGGTGAGACATGTCGAGCATTGGAAGGTAGTGGAGGATTCGCAAGCGCAGTGTCCGGCGGGAATTAACTGGGTGAGGACGGGATGGATGTATTCTCTGTCGGAGTTCATGCCAAACCAAATGACGATGATGGCGCTGAAGCTAAATGCGGTTATGACGCAGAGAAGCGACAAGCCGCGTCGCGGGCGAATTGGAAATGAGGCTGTCATGGTGATCGTCTGGACTTGCACGGCATGATCTGGGAATTGCCGGTTTGTCTTGGTATGTGAGGATAGTATAGTTTAAAGAGTGTTTAGAATGGGAAGAAAACATAATAACAAAAGAGAAGGGGGGGAAGAATCAAGCCCTGAAACGATCCCTATAAAGGGCAGTGATGCGCAAGTATGGATGATCGCCCCCCTCAAATACCAGCATTGGTGAGCCCCAGCCCGACCCCAGTGGGGGGAGCGGCGTCATCGTTCTCTTTTTGGTCTTTTTTTTTGGTTTTGTTTCGTCTTTCCTTTTTAACTTCATATAGGTACTTTTGATTGGTTTGATATAATTAGATTTGTTGGATAGGAATAATCCTCCGATAGAGAGAGAAACAGTACAAGAGCAAAGGGGTAAAATGAAGGGAGAAGGAATTGCAAGGAATTGCCAAGGCTCAACGCCAACTGGACCCTGTTTATGTCCTGGGGCCATGGGGAGCTTGTTGATCGTTGCCTATGAAGTTAATATATTGGGATATAGTAATATAGTAATATAGTATGAACTGACATCTTTTCAAGGTTGATCTACACTACTTTGCCTCTAGCTGCTAATAAGCGAGACGCTATAGGAATTTAGCCTTGGGGGCTGAAGGTTACAGTCAAAGTGAAAAGGACTCTGTTTGAACTACGGAGTACTATTCCCCACTTCAAACTACATAGATACAACTATAACCAATGCCTTTTAACAATGCTAGCTTGATCATCTAGTATGAGAATGCAGTACACAAGGAAGAAAAAAGAAAAAAAAAAAAAAAAAAAAAAAAAAAAACACCAATTGTCCTAACCCCCTAGCCCATTTTCCTTGGTAGAAACGCCCGCAATGCATGGAAAATAACGCAAAAATGGCACCTAGAGAGGATTCAAAAAGCGTGGTTATTGGCCAGAGTGACTTCGCCCATGTCGTATTCCCCGACTGCGACTGGATGGTGCAGGCGTCTGACTGGCATCCATATCCGGGGTAGCAGGTACTGTGGGTCGACGTTGTCGGCTGTGTCGTACACGCCCGAGAGCTCGGCGCAAAAGTCCGTCAGCTTCGTCGTCAAGATCCATTTCCACTTTTTCATCTTCGGCTGGAGGCGTCGCGACATGAGCTGCCTCCGCCGTCCACTCTTCCACAAACGGCTCTTGACGTCCACGTCGTCGAGACATCTCTTCTGGGGCCACTCGCTCTTTCCCCTTATGCTCACGAGACCGAGTAGATCCCCGACGCTTGGAGGAGGCTGCACTGGCTTCTCGCATGCTCTCCTCAAAAGCCGTGCGGTCCTTCTGTCGCCCCTCCAAGGCCCAGAGCTCGAGTGCACGAGAAAGTAATGTACCCGCCACACCCGCACCCCCGGCTGCATCACCGCCGCCACTCGCCCCAAGTACACGTACGGCCTCATGTAAGGCAGTCACCGCGTCAGTGGTGCGTCCCAACTCCAGTAATACAAGGCCCCGAGACGTATGAAGAGAACCCGTCAGCCCGCGATCTTCGTAGCCCCCAACCCCAGATGCGGTAGCGATCGCCGCTGAGCCACCCGTTCCACCACCCAAAAATGGCGAGTAGCCCATGCTGCTCCCTCCCGCACCCACACGGAGACATTCATCAAATTCACCAAGGGATTCGGACAGGCGGCCCATGCGACGTAAGGCATGACCTAGGTTTGCACGTGTAGCCACCCAGGCACTGGGTTCGCAGTGGAGAGAAGTGGCCAGTGCTAGTGCTTGCCCGAACAATTCAACGGCGCCGCTAAGATGATTCTGATGGTAGAAGACAACTCCAAGCTCGTTGAGAACTAGGGGGTCTCCGCCTACAGCTGAGACAATTCCGGAGGGATTAGGTGCGAGGGAAGGGACAGAGCCCGGGGCAGCTCCGGTCGACATGGCATGAGCGGCACATAGATACTCGTGCGCGAGAGACATGTTATTGAGGGCAAGATGTTGCATTCCCAAGAAGAGTTGGGGAAGATGGCTGCCTTGGAAAAGGCGAGCGGCAGTGCTATACGCTGCAATGGCTTGGTCGTGTTCACCCTCTGCGGCAAAGGTGTGCGCAAATCCAATCCAAGCCGGAGCTGAATGTGGATCTAGCAGTGAGGCCTTCGAGAAGAAGCGTCGCGCCTCAGCCACCTTTGATACCGACAAATAGTACACTCCGATTGCCAAGTATGTGTAAGGCTCCTCGGGGGAGTGATCCGCGAGCATGTGAGAGAGTAAGAATAGGGCATTCGTGGCACCGGTCTCGTAAAGGCACGCCAAGTGGAGCGGATAAATAGCTGGAGCATGGCCAAGGTTGTTTTGTGCGGGAATGCTGGGATTTGTGGAGGCTAGATCGGTGGATTGAGAGGTGGAGAGGATAGAGGACGTCAATTCCAAAGCTTCTGCAAATCGGCATTGCGTGTACAGAGCTTCCGCGCGGGACAAAAGGATATCGGGGTTCTCTGCAAGATTATAATGTGTGGAAAGGGTTTCGGTTGCGTCGGAGAGGATGGTAGGGGAGGAGTATTTCGATAGACGGGTCGTGTACAGCATCTTGGTAAAGTGGGCCGCCTCTTGTGCCATCATGGGATCCGGGGAGGAGACGGAATCGAAGTCTAGTGATTCAAGGAATTCCAATTCTTCCGTGGGAGACATTAAAGAGTTCTTCATCAGCTGGTCAAATGCTTCAAAACACTGCACATCAATCCGCACAGCATCCTTGTAACAGTCCCGCGCACGATCAAATGCATTCTGCTTGGCAAAGCAGAGTCCCCGTAAATAACACATGGCGGCTTCAAATCGTACATTATTTGCATCTTCACGTTCTCGCTCCTCGGCTCGATCACTCCGCGGTGTCGCGCTCTTCCCATTACGTAGGGTGACATGGCTTTGGTGTTGGATCTTGCGGCGGGTGTGGTTATTGCGGATGAGATCGGTGGGGTTGTGTTCGCCAAGGATAGAGAGGGCTTGTTCAAATTGGTTCTGTTTTATGTAGCAGTGGGCAGCGAGGTAACGACAGGCGGTGCTTCGAGAAACGAGATCCTTGCGGGACAGAAGGGCCAAGGCGCGCGTGAAGTTGTTATTCGAGAAGTGTACTTGAGCCAGCCAAAACGCGTCAGAGTCACTGTCTTCGCCAGTAAGTCAGTATCGCCTGGTATGGTTGTTTTCTTGGTTGGATGTCCACGATGCTTGTATTCCTTACTGGTAAGCGCCAGGACTTTGTCCCCAATGTAGATTGCGGAATCATGCTGGCCACGGTTTAACGCGTCCTGCCGCCATGAGCGCAGGAACCTTTCCATATCGACAGATGGGGCGCGTCAAGGAATGGCTTTGCAGAGAGAAGAGACATAGAGCGATTTCTGTTCGAAGCTGGAGATATCCAAGCAATGCAAGTAGCAACTTTCGCATGAGCGGGTCCTTGCCCTATTTTGAACCAAACAATGGTCCGTGCGTACTTGTGATGTTGGAAAGGTTACCAATATTGATTGTATGTTGTATGTAGGGAGTACGGAGTAAAGTGTTGGTATATACATTGATCAGGTGAATAAAAGAGTCCATTTGACCCAAAGCCACAATATGACATGCAACACTAATATGCAAGTTACAACACACTTAATGTACTTACCTCTAGCCCAAGTGAAGAGAGCCCACGTGACTGTCTCAGTACTCCTTCAACACGTAGATAGCTTCTAGTTACACTCATCCACTTAGTTAACTACCCCATACATCCATACATAACTAACTAGGTATTTTGATTTCGAATTAGTCACACATATATAGTATCGGAACTGTTTAATTGTACTACATATTATGTAGTAGTAATTGTATTTGTATTATAGCTTATAGCTACATAGGTAGTTCGAATGGCATGTAATCGAAGTTTCGATGTTGCCCCACGTGTATCACCGCCGTAGCTTCCCTTTCATCGTTGGGGCGCACCTTCCTATTCTGGAGAGGCCGGGGAGCCTGGAGGGTGACGAGACTTACGTAGTTCCCTTGTCGCTGTCTCGTGACTTTTGACCTCGGTACTCTTCCGAGGTTTTAAGCGCTTCGGAAGTCCGTTATCGTTATCGCTCCCGTCTTATCGTTATCGCGACACGATGACTGGTTCTGGTCGCTCCCTTGCCGCTATCTTAGCGCGCGCGCATGAAAATGATTGGGATGATACCCACGTGACCAGCGACGATGTCGTCGCCGCGCGGGTCCCGCGGGGCCCAAAGAATAAACAGGTTTGTCGATCTTCCGCTTCCACTTCCCCAACATCTTCTACTTCTTGCAATTCCCTTTGCGATCAAAGCACCATGGCTGAACGAAAGGTTCTTTCAAAGTATTACCCGCCGGACTTCGATCCCTCTGCGATCGAGAAGAGAAAGCGCCCTCGCAAGGATGGAAAGCCTGAGCCCAAGGTGATCACCATCCGTCTGATGACACCTTTTTCGATGAAATGCACTCACTGTGGCGAGTACATTCCGAAGGGTCGCAAGTTCAATGCGCGCAAGGAGATACTTGATGCGAACTACCTGTCGATTGTGATCCACCGTCTCTACATCCGTTGCTCTCGATGCAGCGGCGAGATAACTTTCCGCACCGACCCCAAGAGTGAGTTCTAAACCCTGCTTGCACTCACTCCACCATATCAAAGCTAACGTGTTTTACTAGACACCGACTACGAGATCGAGCGTGGCGCAAAGCGCAACTTCGAAGTCTGGCGCGACGCCACGGCCGAGAAATACAATGACGAGACTGAGGAGCAGACCCTCGACCGCCTCGAGAAGGAACACGGTGCTGCGGAGGAACAGCTCGAGCGAGACAAGATGGCCGAACTCGAAGACAAGATGCTCGACTCCAAGCGCGAGATGCAAATCGCCGATGCCCTCGATGAGATCCGCACCCGCAACGCCCGCATCGAGCGCACCGAGGCCCGCGGCAACGAGACTGCTATGGCTACTGTTCAGAAGGATATCGATGAGGAGGCCCTTCGCCGCGCCAAGGCCGAAGAAGAGGACCGAGAGGCTATTCGCGAGGAATTCTTCCGAAAGAAGCGTGCCGCAGAGCAGGATGCCAGGACCGCAGAAATCGACGCATTGTACTCGGAGGAGGCTAAGGCTCGCCGTGCTGCATTCTGGGCCGAGGGCCGCGAGATGCGCCGTCGTAACGCTGCCAACATGCGCGCTCGCAAGGCCAAGGGTTTGATCAGGCCCAAGGGTACCACCAGCGCCAAGGCTACTGCCAGTGTCAATGCTACCACCACCGGCAACGCTACCGCCAGCTCCAGTACCACTCCTAGCGCCAATGCTACCACCACCGACAACGCTACCGCCACCGCCAGCGCTTCTCCTAGCGTCAATGATACCCCCAGCGCCAACGCTACTACCAGCGAAAAGTAAACTTCTCTCAAATTAACGCCTCTTTTTTGTTTACGGCGCACGGAGTTTCAGCGGGCATCTACTTGATCGGAATTCAAGCACTAGCTACATAGGCATAGCAGGTTTCAAATGATAATCGAAAATTTCAACTATTAATAACTATCAGAGCTAGGTAATATTCCTTGGTATCAAATTCATTGTAGAAGGTAGTAAAACAACTGGGCGGAGGGAACAAGGCCAGGATGCGCGCTCGCAAGGCTACCCCCAGCCTATGTCACGATCAACATCCGTCACATGCTTCGTCATATGTTTGCACTGTTTGCGTCTTACTCAAATTGCTACTAAGCCTAATCGGTAGGGATGGAGATATTTGCATTGTTTGCATGTGGAGAGCCTCACCTGAGCAAGTATAAGAGCCTCCAGGATCTATCTCTCTTGCTCTCTCTTTCCTTCTTCCCCACCTTTACTTTTTCAGTTGGAATGGACTCTTACTGCCTTGATTAACCTAGCACGTAACAAAGAGCCGCCGGCAAGGAACAATATCCTCTACAATCAACGCCTTTTTTTTTTGTCATGGCGTATGAAGTTCAAGCGGGTGTTAACGGCAGATTGATTCGACTACTAGCTCGGCATACCTGTAGGTTACAAATGATAATCGAAAAATTTAACTATTAATAACTATCAGAGCTAGTAATATTCCGTAGTATCAAAGACATTGTAGAAGGTATTAAACAAGAGGGAAAAAAATCGGTATCACAATCATAGTAACATGAAGAAAAGCCGCGTACCTCGCCGAAGCCGAAGCGCCCACGCTCAGAAAAACAGACCCAGAGACGAAACCCACCGCTTCAGAAAGCACAATAGCCATACAAGAAGTTCCCACCGCCAAGTGGCAGGACAGAAACACGCAAATCGACAACAAGCATTGCTCACAGATACGGCATCCACAACGCATCGCACGACGCCAAGTGCTGAGGGTTGACTGCCTTGGAGATCAGATCGATGGTGGTCTGATTGGCAGGCAAGTTGCCCTCCGGCGGGCTGGCAAGACTGACAGCACGGTTGACGATGATCTCGCTGTTGTTGTAGACCAGGTCGCGGAGTTGTCCAGGGGGCAGGACACCGCGGTGATGAGCTGTAGCCCAGAACATCATCTCGTCGCGCACGAAGACGCTGAGCTGTTGCTCCAGTTCGTGTCGAGGCTCCGTCAGGCAGCGGGCGATTGCCATCATTGCACAGGCGAACACACCCTCCGTCGCAATGGGACCCAGAAGTGTCTGGATGTTGGGTGTGAACCGGAAGGGGACTTGCTCCGGGTTGTAGAAGAACGCCTTGGCTGGGTTGATGGTGGGGATCAATTCGGCACCCCAGATATCGCCTGTTGAACGAGATATCATAATTTTATTCGGGTAACGGTTGCCAATGTGCATAACGTAGGTCATGAAAGCAATTGCTGCGTACTGGTAGGCAAATTGACGTCGGAAGAGCCAGAAGTCGGAGAAGTTGGGGTATGTCTGCTGGCAGTATTCCAACACGACGGTACTGGGGACCCATTTGTCTTGAATCGCGGTTAGGATTTCTGTGCGAAGGACCTGTTGCTGATCGGGCGTGCGCTGGGAATTGTTAGCATTTGTTATGTGCAAAGTGGAGGGCACACTTACGTTCTGCTTCGTTTCTGCCAACGACCGCATCTTGTCCATTGTGAAGAGGACAGGGTCGTCCTTGTTGATGCCCTTGCGGCGGCAGTAATCCTCATAAATTCCTTGCATTGAGATGTACGAAGAATCGTCGCGCACCAACCGAATGTGAGGCGCTAGAGGAACCATCAATGGTAGGTGGAAGTACAAATTGCGGCGGCGACTCTCCTTTCGCTTCGCAAGCAGACCATTGAAGATGCGGAACAGCTGAAGAATACGCTCTTCGCGCCTGCAGTGGCGGGCAGCGGGATGTTGAACAGCAAATGCTTGCATACTACCGTCGTGTCCGCGGATCTTCAAGCGACGGTGACAGACACCAATGCCTCGGATGAGGTCCACATCGGGAAGGAAGCGGTCGATGCGGACAAAGTCTTGGTTCTTATCCTTGTGGAGTAGGTACTGGCCGGGAACCTCGACTTCATCAAACTTAAGGAAGCGGAACTCACTCAGATGAGGTGAAGAGTTCTCGAGGAATGTGTGCTGTGATCTGCGATCAAGCTTTTCCTCGAACTTGTCACGCCAGCGCCGCAACTTGTGGATGTACTCGTTCATGGTCGGCTTCTTGGTCACAAAGTCCGCCTCGAATGACTTGCGAATGTGAGCTGGGAGAATGGTCTCCGCGAATCGAGTGATGTTGGCTTCTGTTGCGGCAGGCAACTTGAAATCTTGCGCATAAGACCCAGGCATGCGACCCACATAGGCCAATCCATCGTTCAAGAGAGCAACGATGAGTCGGTAAGCATCCTCGTCGGGAGGACACTTGAAGTTCTTGTGGATCTGGTCAACCATTGTTTCCATAGATAGAGCAAGCAAGGGGAATGCCGTCTTGAGTCCAGACATGATTTCATCTGAGTACTCCCAGGGTTTCTTCAGAGGTTCCTTCTCGCCATCCAAAGGTGCAGTCTGGTTCTGTTGGGGTGTTCCCGTCTGACCAGGGACTTGCAGGTGAGTTTGCTGCGCTTGGGCAGGAGTTTGGCCAGCTTGTGGAGATGCCTGCATGGGGTTTTGTGGCTGTGCGGGAGACTGAGTTTGCGCTTGAGCTGGATTCTGTATGGCGGGCGAGTTTGCAGGCGGAACCGACGGAGATGCAGCTGCAGCCTGGGCTTTCTGTGCAGGAGAGCTATCGGCACCGGCAACAGGATTTGGCTTCGTACTGGGTGAGGATCCTTGCTGCTGCTGCTGCTGCTGTCTAGCTCGGTTCAACTTCTCCTGCTTCTGGTCATGCTGCTTCTTGATGCTCAGCATGTCCTCTCTGTTCGTACGAAGCAAGAAGAAGAGCGCCTGTGGGTACAACTTGGCGATCTTTACCAGGACAGCTTTGCACAGGCGCGCCTCCCGGTGGGACAAGCTGGTAAGAAGTTGAGGAATGAAAGTGATCCAGTACCACACCGGGGTGTCTCCCTTGAAGTTTTCGAATGCACTTGCGATCTTTCCTTCGTCGTTGTCCAAGCTCAGGAGCCAGAGGATTCGGCTGAGTAGTTTCCGGGATTTCGCACTCTTGTAGAGACCAGCCGCTTCTAGATAGCAACTAACAGCGTTGCTAGCCAGCTCGTAGTCAGTTGGATCAGCCTTGAAGCGCTGATCACTGTATTGTCCCCATTCAGACCAAGCCTTAGCAAGGCGGAGATCATAGTAAAGAGCAACTCCAAAGGCCTCATTAGCCTCATTGACATGATCAAGCTTGGCGAGGAACATGCCCTTGAGTGTGTAGAACTCGGCCTTCTGCTGCGGCCCGAAGTAGTTGAGGTTAGTGTTGTTGATCACATCCAACCCGCTGTTCAGCTCCTTCGGATTCTGGTAGTGGCACTTTGCTTGCTCCCGAAGCTTGAGGAAGGCTTCTTGAATTTCAATGTTCGGGAGGGTATAGATACGGCTGAGTTGGTTAATGCAGACCTCTGGCATCTGGTGCTTTCGAGCTACATGGGCGAATCGGTTGATGATCCAAGCTGTTTCATGGTATCCGCGGTAGGCGTAAGAGTTACTGGCCACATTATTCGTCTGAGGGGGCAAGAGACTGAGGTAAGTGCCGTTGATGAGCTGGAAAATGTGCTGACGCCAGGTGACGAGATCTTGCCATGTGTTGATGTCATCCCAGAGATTGGGCAAACGGTCTCTCCAAGTTCCGAGAAGTAGCTTGAGCTCAGCAGACTTAGTATCCAAGTTCCTTTCGTTAGTCTGAGCCAAGCTGCTACAGATGTGGCTAGCATCATGCAGCTCAACCAAGAGTTGGAAATGCTGCAGGATGGGAATGTGCGCATTGGTGATACGCTTAGGCAATTGAAGCCACTTGCGAATGGAAAGCTGGATAGACTCGTCGCAAACGCTGTTGAAGTCTTGGATATTGTCCTTCTTCGTGTGGTATTGGAGAAGAGCCATGAAGGCCTGGAAGAAGGTGCGTCTAGGAGTTGGAGCGTCGGATACAGACTTGATTAATGACTCAAGCTGCTCGCGGTTACCTTCACTCTGCCAGTTCTCGATGTTCCTCCAAGCAGCCTCCAACAAGAGATCGTTGAGGTTCTCATGCTTGGCGAAGTCACTCAGAATCTCCCACTGCTGGAGCTTCTGGGCGCAGATCAGCCAATGATCCTCCCAGACAAAGTATTCGCCCTGGGAGAACGGCATGGCACCAGAACGGGCCTTGATTTGGGCATTCTCGTAGAGTTGTTGAGACTTGTCCCACATTCCTTGTTGCTCATACGAAAGCGCGGCATTAGTTTCAACAAACTTGCAACGACGGCGCCAGGTTCCGTAGAAGAAGTCGTCCTCTTGGAGACCTGCGTAAACCTCAACGAGGGCATCGAGGTTGCTTTCGCGTACAGTAGGCGTGTCAATGATGGGATTAATGGCGGTTTGTTCAAGATAGGTAGCAGCAGTGTACCACGCATCGTAGGTGCGGCTGAGATACTTGACAACATGGGGAGGAATTTTAAACCGAGGACTAGCACGTACAGTACCCTCAAGGAGGGCTTGCACGACGTTGGGCCGCTTGTCTAGCTGTCTGTGGTGGTACTCACGGGTGAGCAATGTGACCATATCCTTCTCCAGATCAATGCAGTCTTTGTTGGACAGTGTGGACCAGAAGAGAGGGAAGATAGTAGTCCACAGCTGGTAGGCAACATTCGAATCAGTATGTTGAAGCTGACATAAAGGCTCGATCAGATCGCGAACTCTGACGTCGCCAATATCGGACATGAATCGCCTTCGCTCTGAGACGAAAGTCTCCAGCTGGTTATCAACCATGATATCGGCTTTCCTAGGATCTTTCTCGCCGCTACCAAAAAGGAATGACACGGGGAACAGGGTGAAGTCCTCGGGGTGCAAGCG